AGCTGTCTGTCTGGTTTTGCTGCCTTTTGTGCTCAGAAGCTGGGAAGATAAGTTGTTAGACTTCCTTCACATTATTTGGCTCCTGGTTTTGTGGTCTCCAACTGACAAGCTCAGAAATAACAAACTTAGAATAAGAAGCAGAAGTCAAATGAAGAATATTTCTCAGCTTTTCCTTGTGTACCCTCAGGATAATATTGCACAGCTTAAAGTGATCTTAATGTCCCACAAAGTCAGCACGTTTGTCCTGAATAAATCCAAGGTCCATCCAGGTCCTCAATTGCTGAAAATTAATAGTGAATTCTCTTTAGCAGAACTTTGAATTATTTAAGGGCTGTCATACCAAGCACATGGCAAGTACTAATGCCCACTTTCCAACCCTTACAGTGTTACAAGAAAAGCCTGGTTGAAATGTATGCTCAGTAATTTTATGAATTGCATTTTACCCAGTTTGTTGGTTCATCTTGCTTTGTGGGCATCCATTTCTGCACATTTTAGGGAGTTAGGGATCATAGATGTGGGCTGCTCTTCCCCCTGCCTCCAGGCTGAAGATGCAGTGGGGTTGTGCAGAGGTCAGGTCTGAGCTTGCTCCAGAGCCGATGACATGTGCCTGTCCCAAAGTTTGCTCCTGAGAGCCCAGATTTGCCTGCTGGCTCCTGCACAGCTTTCTTGGACATCTCCAGTGTGACCCCTTTTCTGTTCTCATGTTGCTGCCTTCAGCGCTGAGGGGCTGTGTATGAGCTGCATCCAAACTGGTGGTTGATGCAATAACACAGCTCCAAGTGTGGCACTTGAGTTGCTGGCAGTGTTTGCCTGCAGCACAGGTTACTGACAGGCTCTGCTGAACTCACTGCTTTGCACTGGAACCTCCACATCCTGAATCATTGCATAAAGGAACGTATTTCTTTCTATTTTCTACAAAGTGTAACTCTTCATTGGGGTATAAGGTGATTTTATATCCTCAGGCCTCTATACATTGACATTTATTTTCCTTTGTCTTTCAGACTGCTTTGCATATTGTCACCAGATTATCAGATAGACCATCCATAAAATAAAAATTACTGTCTGTCTTGCTCAGTACCCTTGAGGGTACTGAAGGGGGGGAGAAGGTAGTGTATCTTTTAGGATAAAGGAGGAAATAATTTATTTGTGGTCTGTGGAATACAGGAGGGCAGGCAGAGGGGAAGATCATAATATGCCATTAATTTAAAATGTCCATACAAGTCTGCTTCAGAGTCCAGTAGGATAACAAATTTTACCATTTTGTTTCTTTCTCTTAACAATCAATCCTGTCAGCTGGAATTGGGCATCCCATTCACAATCCAGTCTCTGATTTCATCAGAGATCTCAACTCTGTGTAATGATCACCTCATCTGCTTCTTGGTTTCAATTAAAGCAGCTCTCAGTTGGTCTCAAACCCAGGACCTGACAAATGTCTTCATCAGTACTGTTTCATTATTGCTCTTCTTATTGTGGACAACAACACATTAAATTTTTGTCCTTTTTCTTCCAAGGAGGTAAAAGTAATGCCAATTTCTTTTCTCGGTTCTTATTCCTGTGACTGAGAGAGGTGGTTTATCTTAAGAGGCAACATTCTCTAGGCTTTTTCTCTGTTGCCTCTCATTAAAACAGAACAAAACAAAACAAATAAAAAAGGAGAAATTCATGCTGATTCCTTCCTTGCAGGTTGCCAGGTCTTTCCTCCTGATACCACTCAAGCTACACATGTTCTAATTTTTTTTTATTTAATATTTTTACAGAATATATAAATAATTTTGTGGAGTTTATGGTCTTTTTATATTTTCAGGTAAACTATAGAAAAGTTATTGAATAAAGACTTAACTCATAATTCATAACTTCATCAAAATTCTTCCACTAAAAATTGCTGAGTGGAAAGAATGAAACAATACAACAAGCAATAGTAAAAGCATTAAAGAACTATAATATTAGTAACTAATACCAGAATGCACACATATATGTTTTTGCATATCTTGGTGGTCAAACTCATAAACTATATAGCTGCCAAAAGATGTAGTTGTTTATGGTACAGATTTGCGATTTTATTTTGTATTTAATCAATTGCGGGTTTTTTTAATATTAAAGCAGCCTCACTTTTATCAGAAATTATTTAATGTTTGATGTTTCTGTTTCTCCCTTTTAAAAAAAAATTCTTTTATAATTGTTTTCAACTTTGTTGTGGCAAGCACTGCAAAATGCATTTCAGAGAGGAGGGCCCAGTTAATTCAGCAATGGATTCCATCTGTGTTGACCTTGGCTGCAGAGCCCAGCCCGCCCCAGCTGTGTGAAGTAACTGGTGCTCCAGCAGGGTCGGACTCAGACAAGCACCATTTGTGTTTCATTTCCTTTTTTCTTTCTTTCTGAATAACATTTTGTCTAAAAACAAGGATTTTTTTTTCTCCTGATCTTTATTGGGATTTCTCATTTGTCCCAGGATAAAATACAGCTTTGAAACCTTGGTGCTGTGTCAAGTCAAAATTGGAATGACTCAGGACATGTATTCATGTATTTCCTGGGTGAATGAGGTTCAATAATGATAGGAATTTCATATATTGTATGCAGCTGATGGAAAAAATGGTTTAAGGCTAGACCAAGAAATTTATTTGTCTAATGGAAAGGGTGGTATGAATGTATATTGCCCCAGGAACAAACGGTGACCCCAGCTAACGAGAACAAGCTTCTACCCACTTGAGTGAAGGGGGAAAATCAACTCTTTGGAGGCAGTCCTGCCTCTTGTGTTTAGCACTTCAGGCTACACAGAGGTGATATGTGTAGAGCAATTCATAATTGCTGTCAGTTTTCCAATAGTAATGAACATGTAATAATTTTTAATGTCCCTTATGGCTGTTGTATAGCAGCAGCTGACCTTGAAAGTCTCATTTATTTTGTCACGATGTGCAGGTTGTCAATTTGATTTTTTTTCAGCAAAATTACAGGATCACTACACTAAAAGTAATATTTTTTTCTTTATTTTGCTTCTTTGAGAGATAATTTCTCTGGCAAATCTGGTATGGGAGGAAATCTCATTTGGTTCACATTATAGGTAACAGTAATTGCCAACTGTAATTTGTAATTGATTGTGACATAAGAAGCTGGCTGTATCATTTGATAATAGAAGTAACATTAGTGTAAATTTCAGTCTGACCAGGAATTTCTGTGCTCAGTTGTGAATCAGTTCATTGTTTGTGAAAAAGTCTCTCATTTTATTTGGTGTGCAAAGGTGAGTCCATGCTGGATGAAGGGCAGGGTTAGTCACTAGCTCCTTGCCTTCCTGCACTCTGGGAATGCACAAGCACTTACCTGCAGGGTGGAATAACCTCCTTGATGGGAATTGGACTACAGAGCACTGTAAGGGTGGGACTCAGTGATGGTGTCAAGAATTGGGTGACTGGTGTAGGTGTGTAATCAGCAGTGAGATTTGGAGATGTCTAGCTTTGAAATATTCAAAGATGAATCCAGCCCTGAAAGTGCCCACAGAAGTAATTTCACTGCAGTTAATGGCACACGTTATTAAAGCTCAGGCTCCTCCCAGGTAACTTCAGGTCTGTAGCAAAAGGGGAGCACAGTCCCTGTGGCCTCATCTGTGAGATGTGGAAGAAGGCTCTGCTAGACTGGTCAGCCCATCTGAGGTACAGCCCAGAAGTGTCTCTATCTCTATATCTGACCAGGTTCTCACTTCAGTATCTCTCTTCATTCCCTTAGTTTACACTCAGTCCAGTGCAGACAAACAGCAATGTGTCTCTGTCATTCCATTAAAAAAAAATCTTGAAAAAGTTACTGCAGAAATACAACTCTGCTTGCAAGTTTAATTTTTGTAATCATGAAATAAACCACTGGTGCTAAAAAAAGGCTTCAGTATTTTCTCTAACACATAAATATGAAACAAAAAACCTGGGGCAAATATGAATGGGTTCCATAAAATACAGTTGTTTTGGTACTTGTTAAGGAAATAGAACAGTAAAGTCATATGGAAGAAGTCACAGAGTACTACATTTAGTTTGTTATTATATCTACATACCACCAGTTGGTCAGTTTTAAATGAAAAACAGGTTTATATTTAAAAGAAGCATTTTAGAATTTGACCTATTATTTGATATATTTATTTTATCATGTAATAGTTTATTGATTTTTCAAACTTTTCCTTGTTTGTAGATCACTTTTCACTATGTAGAAATAGCATTATAAACATTAATATGTATATTAAGAATTTATTTGCCACTGAAGAAACACCTATCATGAAAATATGGTTCAATTTTCTGTCCTTAGTCTTTGCCAGCCCAGGCTATTTAACTTTTCTGCAGTGTCCAACCAAACTGCTGTTTGCTGCTCTAATGTGGTTTATTTTAGGTGCAAAATGCTAAAAAATTAGCCTTAACACTGTAAAGGGGTCTATGCATAGAAATCTCTTTCCTACATAGACCCATTAGATTTAAATGGAGAACTATATCTTTTCAGCATTTTTACCACTTAATGATGTTGTAGAGAGAAATTCGTTTAATGTAGCTGTAATATTGATCTTGTCATCCTTAGCAATGACAAGTAGGATTCTACAGTGTTTGTCATCTCTAAAGAACTCAGTTGGAGGACATGTAAGAAGGTTTTGTTTCCTTATCATGGTATAGGTAAAAGTCTGGACAATAATGGTACATTTAAAAATGTATCTGCATGTTATGAAGCATAATTAAGTTGCTTTACTGCTTCAAGTCTCAACCTTTACTTATTATTGTTTAATTATAACATATGAGGGAGGAACTTGAGATTTGGGTTCCTTCTCATCTAAAAGATGCTACCTTGCAGAGCATCTAATTAAGCCCTCCAAAGCCTTGCCTTTAGAGATAGTTAATGCAAGAAATATTCACTGCAGCAGGGTTTATGAAGCTGGTTGCATTGGCACCGATCATGAGCAGATGTTCTGTCCGTGTTTAATTTAATGCCTTGTTGGTCTGTAATCACTTTTTCTTTTTTTTTTTTTTTTGTTCCTTTAGCCACCAGACAATGGGCCTCCACCACTGCCGACCTCCTCCCTTCCTGAAGGCTATTATGAAGAGGCAGTGCCACTTAGTCCCGGGAAGGCTCCTGAGTACATCACTTCCAGTGAGTAAGATATTTTCAGGCTGTTTCTGAGCAGTTGGTAATTCCACTGTCCTTCAGCTTTTTTAGTATTTGAGAACTTCATCTCTGTTGGTGCTGGGGCGTTGTGTTGTGAGAGTTACTTTGACAGTTTGGGCCAGTTCTGGTTATCCTTGCTGGCCATGCCTTGGGTTGGTTTGCAGAACTGTTTTGGTGTGTGCTGGACTGGTTTGCAGAACTGTTTTGGTGTGTGTTGGACTGGTTTGCAGAACTGTTTTGGTGTGCTCAAACCATGCTCCTTTTACAGAAAACTAAATTTGGTTCTCAAGTTAGGAGCACATAACCAGGTTTCAGCAGTTATTGCAGACAGAGGGTCCAAATTAGCCATTAGCCTTTTAGACTGCTTTGAACCACAGACAAGGGGGACACTGGACCAGGAGTCCAGAGTTAAATGTTGCCCAGAGTAAACCCCTATAAACTGATCGCACTGTGAATGTGGAGGTCTCAGAAACTGGTACTGACCTGCACATCTGTCTGCTGTGCCTCTATTGCACTGAATTACTTGCTAAAATAGATAAATAAAAAGAAAAAAAAGCAACTGTTGGAAAGATGTGATTTGCAGCATTTCTGATGACACATTGTGGAAAGGGATGAATTGGTCACAGCAGCTCCCACAGGCCACGTGTGATGCCCATGGCAGTATTTTGTGCCCACTCCTTCAGGGCAGTAGGCAGAGGGCTGCCTCTGGCTGTCTACCAGAATGTCCTTCTGCAACACCCAAATGTTCTTTTTCACACCCAAATACTTCCCCAAAGAGCTGTGCACTTCAGTGGAGCTGTGCTGAGAGCACCCTGATGAAACACTGCAGTGACTACTGTGACCTTTACACAGGGTCATTTCTGTACCATCTTTTTGCTGCTTTTTTATTGGCTGGAGTAATTTATTACTTGTTTAGGACTGGTTTATCACTAATCATTATTTTCTATGGTCCAAAGATTAAAGGCACATCTTCCCCTGTTTTGTAGCCATTTCAATTATTTTAAATTATCTCTCTGTTCTTAAAACATGCATAGGAGTCACCTTAAAACTAAAATACTATTCATCTGTATACTGCACAAACTGATGTTATCTAGCAGCTTTTAATTAACCTAAGAAATTCAAGGTAAGAAAAGAGTTTCATGTGCTGGAAAGCAAATGAAAGAACATATGGACTTAGAAGAGCAGCAGAATCACTCTTCTCTTCATTTCCTCCCTTGAAATGCTGCAGGGTGGTCCTGCTACACCTTGTAACCCAGTGAACTTCTGACTTACTTGGGTTTTGTTGTTAAACAAGAGCCATGCTTAGGCAGAAAAATATTAATAATGCAAATATTAATGCACTGCTAAAAAATCACTTAGGGAAAAACAAGACAAAGTATGAAACTGATTCCTTATTGTACTTAACCATTTAAATTAAATGCATAAAAATATTTAGGATATCGGCCTTAAAAGTTCATTGATAATTCCATAATTCAATTTTATATATATATATATATATATATATATATATACACATACACACAGAGACATTTAAAGCACTGTTAGCGTGACTTAAGATTTCACTTGCTGAGATTTTTTTATATTTTCTTATGTTCTGAACTTTATAATATCTTAAAAATTGTGTTAAAAGAATTCCTCTCTTCATTGTTAATGAATTTGTTTTTAAATTCAATTGTGCAATTAGTAATACGTCTTCACTCATGCAAAATGTCCACTAAGTGCAGTTCTGTGGTAATTCAAAACAGGTACCAAAGTATATTAAAAGATATAACCTTAGCTGTTTGGAGCATTTGAGCTGGAGAAGACAATAGAAAAAGTGCTTGAAGTAGAAGTGCAAGAATGCATCTGTTGGGATAGATATAATTATTTTAAGTAAACATTCCCATGGAATATTTTTGTAATGTAATGTCATTAATAGCAAGGAGACTTACACACCATGTGTCTTACCTGTAAAAGTAAACAAGCACTGAAGAAAATTTCAGAACATAATCATGAATATGAAATATCTCTAACTTCCCCAAATCCCTCTGATTGGTTTGTAAATAAGTGATTGCATGTAGATGGCACACAAGAGTGTGTATGAATTACTTGTCTGTATTTGGGAATTATATGAAATGTTGTGGTGGGTAGATCCTGCCCTATAATCTATTCTTATGACCTTTACCATATGGGGTGTTTGTTTCTTGATGTGATGTACTAAAGCAAGATGAAGATGTCTGTGTGAAAGAATTACAGAAAATGAAGCTATCTGTCAAATAATATTTTGAAGATAATGAAACACTACCTAAAATTCTAGCTAGGTATTCCCAGCTTCCTGTTTCATTAAAATTCACAAGGTGTCTGTATGGGTTTTGGCAAAGTATCTTATGTTTAATTAATGTAATGCATTGATATTACTGAGCGCTGAAACAGGAACTTGTTCTTGGCTGATTTTCCAAAGCTTTCATTTAAAATGAACCTTCTTGAGGTTTTCAATTATTGCGGTGTGCTTCATGGCTAAGTGTTTTAACCTAACACTTTTACACTTTTATTAAAGATTATGACTCAGATGCCATGAGCAGCTCTTATGAATCCTACGATGAAGAGGAGGAGGATGGAAAGGGGAAGAAAATGAGACATCAGTGGCCTTCTGAGGAAGCCTCTATGGATCTGGTGAAGGATGCCAAAATCTGTGCCTTCCTTCTTAGAAAAAAACGATTTGGGCAATGGACCAAACTACTGTGTGTTATCAAAGAAAACAAACTACTGGTAATTCTTATTTTTATCTAGCTATATTTTCATTGTACCTTTTAAATGATGTATTTATTTTTACAGGAATCTGATTTTTGGAATATATTCTGCAAACAGTGGCCAAGTCGGCATGAAACCTTACCAAAGAGTTCAGTCATGATTTACCCAAGAAGCAGAAAAGCACTGAAATTATAAGTGTATCATTTCACCACTTAGAACTTTGATTTTTATTTCACTTCAGCTTGAACCCCAGCAGTTCTCTGATATTGGAAAGAACATCTGGCCCATTATCTTCTAAAATATTTTATTTGGAAAAAAATAGTTGCTGAAACTGTAAATCCAGTCTTTCATTCCCTGCGGACAAAAAATCTCATAGGGAGCTGTGTGTGTGAACTGTTGGATCAGACTGCTGGAGAGAAAAGTCCCTTGTTGGACTGAGAATTCACTTGGCAGCATATGCTGTGGTAATGTACACACTTTAAACTAAACCTTTGCCATCTGCTCTGCAGTAATTATGATGCAGTGTTCACATGATGCACAGCTGCATTATAAAAGGGACAGAAACAAGTGGATGTATTTATTCCTTAAGCAAATCTGTTATGCTTCTTTCTGATTGGAGGCACCAGTGAAAGATTCCATGAATTATCTGCTCACAGATGTATTTTTGTTTTCTGAAAATAGACCTTAATTCAGGGAGGCATTTACTGTGTGTAGTTATGAACAAACATGAAAATGCTTGTATTAATCAATAAGTTGGAGTCCTCAGTGCTCCTGCCTTCTGATATGGTGCTTCCAGCCATTGTACCTAATTACATAACAATTACTGCACTATCCCAAGTGTTAAAAGCTGATTAACAAGTCATAGAACATTTTCTGTAGAACCTCTCTATTCTACAGTGTACAGTGTAGTTTAGGTGTGTTCACTTTCCAAGTACATTTGTGCTTATGGCAGTATAGAAAATAGCAGGATATGACATGGAGGTAAGAGATTTCTGAAAATACAGTTGGAATGAATTTGCTAGTTTGCAGTAGCTTTAATTTTTGTACCCTCCTGTATTTAAATGTTGAAAAAAAGTTCATTCTGATTCAGCTTTTATTATATTCTTATAATGCCATTATCCTTAATGCACATTTTTATCACCATATATCAGTATCATATCAGATTTCAGGACCAGCTGATAATAGCTTTAAGAAAGGAAGGGAAGAGACGAGACAGAGAACCAGATTTTTCCCTGAAGTCATATAGCATTTGTTCTACAATTACATTTATCGTTCCATATAAAAATATGTTATTTTTTATATTTTCATTTCCTTTACCCACATGTGTGGTCCGAAAAGCTTTTTTTTTTTTTTTTCCTTAGAGGGATCATCATTCAGTAATTCTATAATGTGGATTAAGAAAATAAAGTCACAATAAGAGTCTTATGACCAAGTTACACAAGATTGGTTTATTGTTTGAAGGAGGACTTGGACAGTTAACTTATGAGATATGCAAGTAAAACAAATATGTGTTCTTAGGGATTAGTAATTGCTTGTGTCATAAATGCAGCTGTCATCATAGAACAAAAATATTTTAATTAGGATTAGACATTAGAAATAACTTTTAGTAGGGAATTACTTTGCACTTAAAGTCCGTTAGGGACTCATATTTCATTTAAAGTCTTTTAATATATACATACTTCAGTTTTAGCAATGTATAATTTTAAATAAAATATTTAGATTAATATAAAAGAAATTACAAACTGTTTATTGGTTCTTAAAGTGAATAATGTTGTATTTCTTAAAGACTTCATAGCTTGAAAAGTTAGTATTTTTTAAATGTTGCAAATTAAAAATCTGTGACCAAACTGGAGAAACTTTAGGGTAATGGGCTTTGGAGAGGGAAGGCTTGTCAGTGATCTGCAGAGTCTGGTTTAGAATTGGCTGTATTTGCTCAGCCTGACTTGTAGTGTTTATAACATACTTTCATCAATTGTCTTCCTGACAATTGCATCCTGACATGAATACTGCTGCGGACATGCAGAAATTCATGTGCTTTTCTCTATTCACATAAATGCTCAGCTGTTCTTTGTGTGATGATACTAGTTAGTCTGGATTGTCAGAGACCCTTTATTGGTATGAGGGAAAGCCCAGTTTACAGAAGTATATAAAATAACTGGACATTTGTATAGAGAGTTAAACATTGTTCTGCAGTCTTTGGGAGCCTCAGCTGTAGTGATGGGTTGGAAGGAGGGAATGGAGCCTGGGTCTGTAGGACAAGTGGTGTAAAGAGGGAGCCCTCTGTCTTCAGATCACCAGTTCCAGCAGAGAACAGGCCATCAGTGACCCAGCAGGAAATGGTTGAGGGTTTTACTGATCAGGGAAGAAATAAATGTAAGTACGTCATTGTAGCCAGGAGCTTGCAAAATGAAGTAACTTGGAAATTTGTGCAGGGACTATTAGACTGTATTAACTGAAAAAGTGTGATTTTACCCACTTTCCATGAAGTTTTTTTTTTTTACTTATCTCAAGAAAATGAGCAGGTGAGTAAAGCATGTGTCAGTGTCTTTGCAATTAAAGTGTGTAGACACTGATGTAGATTTGCCTTCATGTGCTGGTCTGTGACTGAAGGGCAAGGTAAACATCTGGCCTTTAAAGTTGTTGAGTTACAAGTTTATTCTGCTGCTACATATGAATAGATATCCTAAATCACCCTCTTCCTACCTGATCAAGGTCAAGATTGAGTCATAAGGATAATGCAGAGACACTTAATGCTCTCCATATGTTGTACCTGTCCTGCAATAAAAGGCATCTATTATTGTCAGTCTGGAAGTAATTTTGCTTTACAGAGTGGATGAGTTTGCTCTGGCTGAACTCTGTGGTATGTGGTAAAGGGATGTGTAAAATAAATTCAAAATTTGATGAATTAAAAATATAGCATTTCTACATAATAAGAGTTTTCCCCCAAGGTTCAGAAAGATTATATCTAACTCTGGAACTTCCCTTATGTTTATTTAGTGTTACAAAAGCTCCAAGGACCAGCAGCCCCAGATGGAGCTGTTCCTGAATGACTGCAGTATCACCTATATTCCCAAAGACAGCAAAAAGAAGAAGCATGAGCTGAAAATCTCTCACCAGGGAGCAGATGCCCTGGTTCTGGCAGTGCAGAGCAAAGAGCAGGCAGAACAATGGCTAAAGGTAAGGGGGGATTTCTGACCAGGAGTTTTTCTACCCACAAAGTGTTCACATTGCTCTGTTGCTGTTACAAACTGAGACACAGACGCCAATTTCCAGACAAATCCAGACCACTTTAATCCCATCTAATTTGGGACTGCAGAAATACAGACTTTAGGTTCAGGCCTCGAAGCAGTTCCTCAGGGTTAACCCAGTGCTGCTGCTGTGATGGTTTTCACTACTAATAGCACAATAATCTGGTGCAGAGAGGAGAGGTGGCAAATTCCCTTCCATCTTCTTCTCCATCTTCATTTGCCAGAAAGATTTGGTGGTTAGGGCACAGTTTTGGTGAGTGGAAGGTTCAAATTTCCTCAGGTGGAGGCAGCTGGCACCCATATTATTTTTAGCATGGTGTCACCTTTTTAAAAAGAAGATTCTCTGAGGAGATGCCTGTTTGAATTGCTCTGGATGGAAAAAAATCCTTCAGCTTCCTGAAGGCCATTCAAGTTTCCTAATTCTGGTTTAGCCAAGTATCATCTGTTATGGTTTCTCCTGCGAACGCAGACTTCGGAGAAAACGGGATTTTGTCATCTTCCATTCCTCTCTGTTCAATGTCTGCAGACATGGAAAATCCCAAGGCAAGGGCTGCAGTTACAGATCCTAACCAGATTACAAGTATTTATGTTGGATTTGCCAGTCTCAAAGGTGGAGGTCAGTGAAGTAGTGTGGGAAACTATCACTGCAGTTGCAGTAGCAGCTGTTTTAAGACCTTGAAATCCAGCCTTTTAAATACATGTATAAGTCTGAAGGCATCAGACTCATCAGGCATTCTCCATGCTGTGCTGTGATCTAACCTTATATGGTACTTATTTTTCTAAGAATAAATGGTATTTCCCCAAATACAATTGAATTAAACACATAGGAATTTCCTAATGGCAGATAGTTTTTCTGCAGAAGAAGGAGACATAAAATGCAGCTTAAGCAGTATAAATTCTGCTGTGGGCTAATGTACTAAATGGAAAATTAATCTGTAATTTCCTATTTTGCTATATTTGAATATACCTTTTGGGGGTTTGAGGTTTATGTATGTTTGGTTTTGACTGTGACTTTGTATCCTGGCTTAGAAAATGCTCTATTGTCATTTTAATGGCAATTAATCCAGCCATGTGTTTGTTAGGCTTCTAACATCAATATCTTGTCCTAAGTTTTAAAATCATGCAAGTGTCCCACTAGTTCAGCTAGCAGTTCAAAACCACTGATTGGAATGAAGAGAAGTTCATAAGTCATGTTCCCTTCCAAGGGAATTCCGCTGTAATTAGATCATAGGAACTGCACCCTTATTTCCTGTGTTGTTCTCAATTTAGTAATTCTAAATTCACTGGCATCTATCAGACGTTCTTTCATAAAAATTGTTTTATTTTTTCAAATTGTATATAAAGCATCCCCACACAGGCAGACAGAGCAGTACTAGATTTTTCCATGTCCCAGATGCATTCCTGCTGCTTCAAATTGAGAAGAAAAAGAGGGATTTTGTGCAGTTGCATGTTCACACAGTTGTGTATTCTGTGTGTCTGCAAAGCATTTGGAGACAGTCTGACAGCACTTTATTTAGCTCCTTCATGCTGCAAAGCTCTCTATTCATGAAATCTTTCAAGTACATGGCACTGTTACTGTACTCAACTTCCAAGTCCTCAGTGCTGCTTCAGCCCTTTGCTTCTGCAGTACAGAATCTTTCCCACAGCTAACCAGAAAAGATCTGTGCAGCTCTTGCAACAGCTCCAGTGTTTTCCAAAAAAAGTACGGCCTTTGGAGAAATAAAATAAGCATTGCTTTCTGTGTTTTTAAAAATACACCAAAAGTTAAGGATTTTTTAAAATTATGTAAGCAATTATGTTTGGATCATTGAAGCCTTACTCAAAATTTGCTTCTGAAAATCATATGTGGCTTTGTGTAGGACATTCTTACACTATGAAAGAGGTCACTGCTTCATCTTGGGAGATTTTAGCTTTCCCAGCCTGTCAGTCAGAGAGCCAGGGTCCCTCCCAGTGCTCTGTCCCTTACATGTGATTTCTGTACTTAATAAAATGGAAAGATCCAGAGACTGACAATGAGAAAGAACTCTGCAACCACATTTTTAGAGCATAAGATGCCTTCCTGGTCAAAGATACTGCACCAGTGTTTGCCACTTGAGGCAGATTATCACCCAGGAGCAATGGGTTCTCATGAAATCAAATCTAAACTGCCACATGAAAGCTTTACAGTTCATCCTAAAAAGCTCAAAATGTTTTTGGAGACCAGATTGTCCTTTGAAAGCTAAACCAGTTTTTTTTCCAGTTCATGTATATAATCAGTACAGAATATGTTTAAGTAAATAATTTTAAAATATATATTGGAAGACAAATTCTAAACCGATGTAGAATACTTCAGACCTTTTTTTTTTTTTGCAAAGATGACACCAAGAATGCCCCAACTGATAAACATAGTGCAAATTGAAGTCTAGACTGGAAACCACAAAGGGAGTTTCAGATTTACCAGCTAACAAATGCTTGATGAAAACAGATAGCTGATGTCACCAAAGAGCCTGTCAAGATTTCAGAGGAAGGAGCAAAGCTAGTATAAATTCAGGCTAGAGCTGAGATCATCTCAGTAATATGGTGGGCAACAAAAAATGGTGGAATTTTCCAGACTGGAGTCCTAAAATGTTCCCACAAAAATGTACAAGAAAAAAATGAGTGCAGTTACACACTCTGACCCAAAAATGATCTTTTTCCATGCGTGCTTGAGTGTATGTGCATCTGTGCATTTTGTGGTCAAGTGAGGTCTGAAATTTTCCTGTTTGTCTCAGCACATCCAATAGACTGGTAAAACTACACTTATTTGTCAGCATCCCTGGGAAATGCTGCATTAAAAATAAAAGGACTGGTAAGACCATGACCTTACAAGAAGCTGCTTGTTCAGTGGCTTCATTTGTACAGATGAATGTGCTCTGTGTGCAGAACCCTCAGACTAGGCCACAGAAAACTGCCCTCAGTATTAGAAATACATGGAAGCCAAAGAAATTGAGGTAACTTGTTGTAGAAAACTGGTGGAAGAAGGAAATGGTCACAGTGACTGATCCCAAGGCCTTCTCTTCCTCCTAACATTCCTCCTGTAAAAATGTATTTCTGATTTATCATGCATGAGGTGTAATCTATCATTCTGGAGTACTGGCCTTGATTTTCATTTTTCCCTAACATTGGGCACCCTTAGTTAACTTCTCTTCATTTTCTGGTGCTCTGCCACTGTGCAGCAATCTCTCCAGCTGAGGGTCTGTAATTGAGCAGTGAATCTTCCAGCCATAAGGAGACATTGCTTCATCTGTCATTTTGACAATGCTCAGCCAGTTCTGAACTTGTCATAATAAGGAGGGTATTTTGCCCTGAAGAGAGAATAAAATCATGGTTGGGACTGTATCCAGTCATCCAAAGGCTCTGCAGCATTCCTTGTAGGGCTGTTTAGCTGGTTCACCTACCCAGTTTTTCTCTCTGATTTACTGCATGTTTTCTCTTATGAAAGTCTATGGAAACATCTCTTTTTTCCACTGTCCTGAGTTTAGTGAAGGTAATCAAGTAACTTCTGGTCTCCAGTCTTTATGTGGACAATTTTACTGAAGAGTAAACTACTGACAGAGCTGTTCTTTAGCCAGTTTATGTCAGCAGAAAATTGAGCTTGTAACTGTAAACACTGTGTGGCTGCTTTTGCTTTCTATGGGAATTTCCAGCTAGAGATCTTCAACACTTCAAGCATTTCTTTCTTGGCTTATGTAATAACTCCCCAAAGAGGTTATTATCTCCATTTTGTAGCAGAGTAGAATCAAGTGCTGAATGGTCAAGCCTTAAAATGGACCAAAAAAAGTGGTTTTGGGGATGCATACTTGGTACTAGTGATTTCCATGCAGTGTTTGTTAATTTGTAATTAACTTAAAGGATGTACAGTGACCCAAGGCAGGCGGGCCAGGTTCTTTCTCTACTGCCCATCATCACCAGCAGCAAAGGCTGTGCAAACTAAATGAGACCTCCCAGGAATTACACCCCTGTTGTCTCAATCAGATGGTTTAAAATACGTCAGTTCAAGTCACAGCAAGGTCAGTCAGTGAGTTTGCATAAGAGCTCTTTAGGGCCTCGCCTGCAGAGGGGATGGACCAAACCGCCCGTGGGAGTTTTGACCAGTCTGCAGGACTCTGCCAGTGGGCAGAGCTGGAGGATTCCAGCTTGGCTGTGAGCCATAGTCTGTGTGTTTGTGTGTGACCAGCACCATGGAAAACAATACATAATTTAAAAGAATCAGATGTATATGTAAATTTAAAAAGCCCCAACCAAACCACCCACGAGTACAGAACCACAAACATCCTATTTACTTGTCTTCTCAGTGATAATTTTTCTTTGGTGTTTCCTGGCTAAAATGACAAATGCAAGCTGTCACAGTCAAAGCAGAACCCAGGAGGGCTGAGACTTTTCACCACTACATATTATTCCTCCTCTCTCCTACTCACAGCTTTGGATGGAGAATCATTTAAATCACACCTAGCTCAGACTCTTGGCCTAAAGTGCCATGTGCATCACCTCAGCACCCAGGCTGGGGATGCAGCACAGGGCACCTCTGCCTCCTGCCACCCTCCCCAGCCTCTGGGGAGTGCCTCCTCCCTGGGCTCTGCCTGATCCAGCAGCCATAAGTGGCAATGGACTCCATGGCAGTAATGCAGGAGAAATGATACAGGGCTTGTCTTGGTTGAGTAGGTCAGAGAAGTGTTTCTAAGGGGATGCACAGGCACTAAGGGCAGGCTTATTGACTGCTAGGCTGCCAGAATCTCATCCTCACTTTGCTCAGACAAATGGCAGTAAGGCAGAAAGATTAAGCTTTCCAGGCTAAGGGATACCTGAGAATAATATTTTCCAATACAGAGGGTAAAGGGGGTTTCTTTTTGATACTTAAAGCATGTTATTCCCTGTGAGGGGAATAATTTCTGCCTTTCCTGCCTAAGATTTTCCTCTATGTGAACTCCTCGGGGCATTTCTTCTCTGCAAAACACTAACAGGAGTTCTGCTGCTCTCCTAAGGAGGAGGGTATTGACATTAACATATGAAACAGTCCACAAGAAGGAGAAAATGAGGATTTAGTCATGCCAAAATGACTGAGAGTCCCAGAAAGTCAGTACTCTTCCAGCAGTGAAAAAGGAGTGTTTCAGGAATGGGAAATACTGACTTACAGCTGGAGCCAAACCCTTTCCCTGTGCTGTGTTGTACTTAAGCAGATTTCAGCTTTGCCACATTCCTATTTCCAGAGTTAAGGGGCAGAGCCAAGGGACACAGCCCATCCCTTTCCCAGCAATTCCAGTATTTGTGAAACATGTGGGCAGAGGAGGACAAGTGGGTGGGTGGTTGGCTGGCTGGGTTTCTGGTCCGATTACATAAAGTAAAGCAAATATGCAGTCAGGCTGTGAGCTTTCTGTCTTGAAGTCGATCATATTAAAAGTGTGAGCTTCTCATGGGAGTTCCCTGAGAGCACAGGATGATACAAATGCTGTAATCACATCCCTGTGGTAGGGAGGCTGTAGCTTGAGCTCATCCATGGTATCCATCAGGAGTGACATCTGCAGGCTCCTAAGCACAGGACAACTTTGAGTCTTATTCCTTAACAGGTCCCAAAGGGATCAGCCATAAGGAACTATCTACAAATGTACTTTTACTCAGAATTTGTTTGGTTTCTGTGTGGCAGGGGCTGGCTGACAAGCAGCTGGCTTTCTGGTTTTACTACAGAGCCACTGCTTTTTTATCTGGAGCTTGGAACTTTAAAGTAGCCAGAAGAATCTAATTTACTTTTTCTGATTTCACATGTAGAATAAATGTCAGGCAAGTATTTTGCCTCTAGTCCTGGTGTGTCTTTTAAAATAAGATACAAGAATTGTAGAAATGTGTAGGTGTATGCAGATATGAACTTTTTTATAGTAAATATTAGTGCTTCTGTAGTAGGATAGTTTTAAAGAAAAAAATATTCCAGACACACCAGTGGCAGAAATTCCACTGACTTCACCCATGGCTCAGGGCGGGGAATCTTTCCAGCTTCCTACCTACAAATATTTCTCCTCTATGCCTTATGTCACTGCACTCAATGCTGTACTCTGACTTATATCCTGATCCACCTGGGGATTCAAGGTCTGAAGCCCAAGTCTGATTAGGAGCAGCTAATGCAGCTAGGGCTGTTTGACCTGGAGAAAAGGAGGTTCAGGGGAGACCTTTGTGTTCTCTGCAGCTGTAGCCAGGTGGGGATCAGTCTCTTCTTCCAGGTAACGTGACAGGAAAAGAGAAAATGATCTCAAGTCTCACCAGAGCAGGTTTAGTTTGGATATTAGGAAAAATTTCTTCACTGAAAGGAGCAGGCTGCCAAGGAAAGTGGTGGAGTCAGTCCCTGGAGATATTTAGAATACTGTGTACATGTGGCACTTAGGGACATGGTTTAGTGGTGCATTTGGCACTGATGGATTAACAGTTGGACTCTGTCTTAGGGGTCTTTTCCAACTAAATGATTCTATAATTCTATAAATAAGGAATAATAATACAGTTCAGGTTGCAGAAGCTTTTTCCAGGTCTGCTAATTGTAATATTGTAATGGTAATTGTGGTACTTCAGATTCTTGCTATGGAATAACAGAATATTATTTTAAATGCATTTGGTTTTGAGGCTGTCCAAAGAAATACAGTATCTTCAGTTTTCTGATTACATTTGCTCATAGATTTTAAATATTTGAATAGATAGTCTGTTTATGATTCAGTTTGATTTTCCTGGCAGATCGCACTGTGTGTGTGTACATGCAATGTACAAAGTCATTTGTGGTGAAAAAAAGGGAGTTATTTCCTTTCCCTAATGTGTGAGAAAACTTAAGCTAATAATGGAATATTTGCCATTATAAGGTATTCTCAGTGCACCCTTCCACATGATGCCATTTTATTAAAAATTACACTTTTGGGGATTCGGTTTTTTTTTTTTTCCCTTTCTGTTTTTGGAGCTACTGAGATACATTTATTCTTATTTTTAGGCATTTAGTTGCAGTGGATAAAAATTTGCTGAACTCACTCACTCATTCCTCACTCTCACTCACAATTACTTTTTAATGAAAATAGTAATCTTTTGTTTTCATATGGCTCCAGAAGATGGAACATAGAAAAACCTGACAAAAACTTTTGAGCCTTATGATTGAAATTATGCAAGTTGGCAATACTGGTGGAATGTTTTATCCTTCAAATTTTGAGCTGAAGCTATATGCATGTGAAAACCAGATTTTTAATGGCAGCTATCTGCAAACCTAATTAACAGAGAGTGCATCCAGGCAACCATAATATATTAAAGGCATTTCATCCTGGTAAGGTGGAGGAGAATGAATTTTGTGCTGTGCATTAAACACAATTATGGTGCACATAGAAGGTGATGAGCAAGTCTTTGCCAGTGAACCTTTAGAACCCAAATGAAGTGTTGGACCCTTGAGTATGCATTTACTTTAGATCCTGCCACCAACTCCCTTTTGACAATGTGTCATTTTTTTAAATCAAAATTTAATTACAGCCCAATTAAGCACTTCAGCTTCTCCTTAAATATGTGGGGTATGATAAGAACCGGATTTACTTGAGTGCATGACTTAGCACATACTATTGAGTTAGTGCTGCCAAATCATTTCCCTCTGTTCTGTCTGTAACTCCCATTACAATCTGCCTTTGCCAAAATTAACTAACTGTGTGGTGTGAGCAGATGCTGAAAACATAAGCCATTGAATCAGGGTCATGCAGGAGACAGAAATGAATCTTCCCAGAAACTGTACAGTCACATTTCCCTAGGAAGAAAACGACAGTGTATTGACACCATACTGAGCACCAGTGATTGATTAAAAAAAACCAGACGCATGAAAAAATCCTCTGATTTTGGGGAGTTCAGGGCTTTCCTTAACTCTGAGGTGCTCTGCTGCAGATACATCTACATTTTGTGTTACAAAGGACACCAAGTGCCATGAAATGCTGATCTTGTTTCTGGAACAAAATGTAGGGTAGGTCAGACAGTCAGGAAAGGATGCTGAAGTGTTTTGACATTTTAGCTCAGAAATAAAAATGTAGGTTCATCTCCCAGCTCTGCTTAGGTTTTTTTGTGTGTCATTGACATCATTCTTTTGTTCCTGGGTTCCTCCTCTGTAAAATGGGGTTTTGGTGCTCTTCCTTTCTTTATGGTGTATAATGCTTGTAATTTATGATGTGCTCCTGAGTTAGCATAAGGGTCTTTGTAAGCCTATAATCATTTGATTTTGCTTCACCCTTAAAGGGAGCTTAAGTGCTGGGGAAGGACTGTTTGGTGCCATCCTTTGCTTTTTAGTAGTTTCCTCATCAAAATTGTTCAGTTTAAAACTCAGCATGAGCTTGGATTGAGAGCCTGTTCTCATCAGCACAAGCAGTTTCAGGATGATAATGGGCTGGAGATAACTTCACAAGAGATAAAACCCTTAGCTATGGCCATGGGGAATCATCAAGCATCTTTATCATTGTGTATTTTTACATTTATGTAATTTGAGGTTTTTAAGTTCTTCAAATTCCATCAAAATATCAGCAAATTCCCACTTCAAGATTTTTTCTTTAACTTTTTAGAACAGAAAGTGCCATTTCCATTTGCTACAAACATATTTACAATGACTTTGACCTTTAACTCTTGAGTTAATGTGCAAATCTAATACAAAAATGCCTCAAAATACCACTGTGCAATATTAACCCTAAGTTTATCAGCACTTCATTAGTTTTCTGATAGCAAAAAAAAGAGCATCTGTGAAGTGTGTTATATAAAACTCTTGTCTATTGGCTTGAGGTACCTTGGATTCCATTTTCTCATCATTGTAATGAAATTAGTTTGGTGGTGTCAGCTGAGTTCATATAGCAGAATTAGCTCATGGAAATCAGCAGTGCTATTGGTTTCTTCACTTAGGAGAGCCTTGGAGCTTAGTCTGCTTAGAAACTGAAACCTTCCACCTCTAGACTTCATGTCTCCTTCAGGTCATATATGAGATGACTTAGGGAGGGAGCATGGAGAAGTTGTCGTGGTGTCAGCCTGCCTGACACCTGCCAGCCTAGTAAATGTCTGTGTGGTTCTCCTTCCCACCTCCTTTCACATCCGTATATCATTTCTAATCTCTCTGATTTGTATTTTATCAATCATTAATAAGTTTTGCCTTGTCTCCTAAGGTTATAAAAGATGTGTGCAGCAACTGCACGGGAGCTGTAGACTCTGATGGGCCATTGTCTAGTTCTCCAGTACACAAAGTGGAGCTGGAAAAGGTAAAGTTATCAAAATTAAGAATGCAAAATTTCCTGTGATTACTCAAAGAGACACTGGATGTAAATCCTTGCTGCCTTGTGTTGCTGTTTCAGGCACACAGAGCCTGTGTTGGTCTGTTTGGATATGTGCACACATCCTGCAGAGCTGAGGTTTCTGCCATGTCAGTTGGTTTGGCCATGAGCAAGGAGCAGCCTGGCTTGGGTCCAGCTTCTCCTCAGCCACAGCAGGGTGCAGATTAATGGGTCTGGTACACGTGCTGAGATGCAGAGATGGTCTCCAACAAATGCAGACAGCAAGCAGGGGTGTCACTCTTGAGGAAGAACAGATGAAGATTATACCAGGTTTTTAAGGGAAAGTCTCTTATTTTGGGGATTTGAGTCCTTGAAGAGCTCCCTGGGCATGCTGAGCTCACTGTTTTGGCAGACTCCTCCAAGCATTCATGTTTCAGTAGAGAAACTTGGCCACTCACACGTGGTACTTGGCTACTGCACTGCCTTGACTCAGCAGGGTGTGAGAGCAGGAATTAGGGAAGTGAGCAGCTTTACAGGGAATGATTGGTGCATTACCAGCACCAGTTTAAGCCCCTGCTCCATTGAGGCATCCAGGTGAGCCAATCTCTCTGCAGTCCCTGCTTAAAAATCCCCCTGACAGAGGCTTCATCACGCGGTTCCTGATGGCAAGTGCCACCCCTGTGGTGGAAGTGCCTCACTGCCTGTGTAGTGTTGTTGCTTTGGTCCTGAGAACTTTTCCAGGACAGCCAGAAGCTGTTGTCTTTGTATGTTTGCACACATCTGCACAGTATTGACAAAGCAGCTTAAAGTGTTAAAAAATATGGTTTTTTTTCTAAAATACATGCCATGAAAAGGTGCAGTTTATCTGGTCATCCATTCTTTTTTGTGATGATCTGCACATCTGCTTCATGGCTTCCCCACTTCTGAGTAATGTGATCATCAAAACTGTGCTGTTATAAGCTCTGTCTACTTGAACCCAGACTTCATGCATAACCTTTACAGAATAATCGGTGCTAAAAATTTATTTTAAAAGCCTTTCTTGCACATATTTAAAGTACTGGAGGACCTTGTAGGAATGCACTATTTTCCAATAAGTTATAATTGCAAATCCATGTGTGAAACATTTTTAAAGATACTTTAAAAATGCTTTTACTCTACTCATAGCTCATACATGTAATTCTTTATTGCAGCATTTAGAGCCTAGAAATACATATGGTGAATTATGAATATTTCACTGATTTTTAATACACTTTCAAATATATACTGTTTTATTGTTTCTGTGATTTTCTAAAGGCTCTAAAACTGAAGTTTTTACTATCTCCTAATTCTCTTCCAAGTGGATGAGAGCTTGAAAGTGTGTTTTATTTCATAGTGAGTCTATTTTTGAAGGAATTAATGACATTTGATTTTTATGAAGGTGCAAACATTGTATGTCAGCTGATCTCTTTGCCCCTGCAGAAGCTGTCATTTGAGAGGCCAAGCTCAGACGGGGAAGGTGCTGTGGAGAATGGCATCACTACTGTGTGCAATGGTAAAGAGCAAGGTATGTCTGGTGTAAGTGATGTGTGCTGAGAGAAAGGGGAATACCTCACTTTTATCTTTGCAAAAAAGTAAAGTTTTTGAATGGTTTTATTAGGATTCAGTTTAATTTGAAAGCTGAGCTATGTCAAGAAGGATTCCTTCAATTTTGGCAGCAACATTTGATGTTATTGGGCAGGTAAAATCAATATAATTAGTATAAGGAAACTGAATATAGAAATTTTGATTTGGCCTTTTCTGTGTTCAAAAGTACTGGTTTTCAGAGCTTGGGTGACCACTGTAGGCAAATAACAGGTTTTTTAGTAACTGTATAGTGACAATATAAGTAGTGGTGTAAAGTTTCTAAGCAAAAAAGCAATCATTAAATACTAGAAGGAGAGAACCATGCATATTTATATATATATAGATATAATTTTTTTTAATATATGTGTGTGTGTGCACAGATGCCTTCATATATAAACTATGATGTTACATATTATTATTTATATAAAAACATATATAGTCATGCAATATTAGTGAGCTTTTGAGTACATATCTATAATTTTGCATATGCTACTTTGGAGCCATGCATTTTCTGTAGCCTTATAAACCAACAAAGGTAAACCCCAAGTCCAGAGGGAGTTCTGGCGAAGTTATTTCTAATACACTCAACCCTTATGCTCTATTCCCCATCCCCTTCCCTCCTCTACAAAGCAGAAGAAATTCTGTGCCTTCCTTCACTTTCTGTTAGATAAAGCATTTTCCTGCTGCTGTTAGTGAAGGTAACTTGAGCTGCAGAGAGCACAATGTCAATACTGGCCTTGGTGCCAGCACTGTCTCACCTTTTGATCTTGTCCCTTATCTCCTGCCTGGCTCATTTTCCAGCATTTCCTGGCCATACAGATCTCTGAACAGTATGGGACAATGTCATGGTTTCTGGTTTCCTGAAAGTCATGGTACATTTTTCCTTTTTTTTTTTTCACATTTTAAAATCTTCTATTAAGCTTTCATAAAACTCTGAAACCTATGGAGAATCATCTGTGACCCAAAACCTGTGTTGGTCACGATGTCCAGAAACACCAGGTGGCCCAGGTACCCTGCAGAAGGTGTGGTGATGCAGCTGGGAAAGCAACCCAGCTTAGGTGCCTCAAGGAGGGTCATTTAAAATGCCAGTGGCTTTTGAAAATTGACTTTCAATACATAGTAGGAGAAATTAGGGGCATTAATGACTGCAAGAAGACTGGAGTGTGCTTGGTGAAGTTATGCCATGCCTTTTTAAAATGGATAGGAAGTGTTTAAGGGAGTAGATGGGAAGGGAGGCTTCAGTGAATGATCATCTCCAGCTGGCCCCAGCCACCAGCCTCTGCTCTGCTCCAAACCAGCTGCTTGCTTTGCTGTGGGGAAGGAAGTGAGAATAAAAGGCTTTTGTGAAAAAAATCACTGGCAATTGGGCAATTAGTATATTCTTTAGACTCAAAAAGATTAAGTCATCAAGGCCTTATTTCTGCTGCCTCTCAGTTCTTCAGGGAAAAAAAAAAAAGTCAGCAATGTGAAGGGAAGACAGGACAGGAAAACAAACACTAGAATGGGCTTATTCCACTGTCTGTTCATGCTTGTGGGAATGATTCCTTTTGGCTTCTGTCTCAGAGAAATGAGATTTTCTGTCTCTGGCTTTTTTCAGTGCTTTTCATGTACCCCTCAATAGCCACAGTCAGCTTTTGGCTGCTCTTGTGTGGGATGGAAACCTGTGTGAGGGCAGGTGCTGTGCCCCCCAGTGCGACAGTGGTTACAGCGGTTCTTGGATGAGGGGAGAGGCGAGAATGTTGACTCCATGTTTCAGAAGGCTTGATTTATTATTTTATTATATACATATTACATTATAACTATACTAAAGAATAGAAGGAAAAGCTTCATCTCAGAAGGCTAGCTAAGCTAACAATAGAAAAGCCAAAAAGAATGATAACAAAAGCCAGCTGTCTCGGACTCTGTCTGAGATAGCTCGGCCTTGATTGGGCATTAATTATAAACATCCAAGATGGGCCAATCAAAAATCCACCTGTTGCATTCCACAGCAGCAGATAACCAGTGTTTACATTTTGTCTCTGAGGCCTCTCAGCTTCTCAGAAGGAAAAAAATCCTAAGAAAAGATTTTCATAAAAAGATGTCTGCAACACCCCAGAAAAGGGTTCATGACCTGATGGGAAGGGTGACCTTCCTCCCTCCAACAAAGGAGCATCATGCATGTTTAGAGAGCACAGTTGTGAGCACCCTTCCCTTGAAACAGATAATTAGACCTGGATGTGTTGGGGTGGGCTGGGGGGCAGCACTTGCAGAGCTGCCTTTCTCCCTCAGCACTGGCAGATTTGTACAGTCTTGGCCACAGATACAATTTCTAAATAATGTTCCATGATTGCTAACAATTAAACTAAATGATAAATTATCCCATGGTGAGTCCCAAACTGCTTCTCTATTTGCCATGCATTCTTCTTCCCAGCCCATCAGTTCATACACTCATTTCTCATGTGAACATTTTGTCCAATTTTTCCCTCAGTTTGTGCAAGTCCATAACCACTAAGTGTTCCCTAATGCAAAAGGAATTGATATGTTGGGGATAAAGATAGAGCAGCTCAATTAGTAACTATTTAAAATTAATTGTTCATTAAAGTCACATATCAGGGCAAGTTGATGGAATTTTTGCTGCCCTGTCAGTTAGGAGAGACTTTTGCTCTGTTGCCAGAATCCAGTTTATGCCACTGAATGCAGTTTTTGAAGCTTATTTTGTTTGTTCTGTTTTTGCAAAGAAAATCTTGGTCTTTTTCTGAATCTGTTTAGTCTTAGAAACTCTTCTTTAAAAAAAAAAAAAAAGGATTTAAATCAGGTAGGCACTTCTAAACACCATATCCATAGTCCTTGCCATATTGCATCCAGCAGCTGAACCTGCTTCAGTTCTCAGAGTGGTAATATTCCTATTATCAAATGAAGTTAGTGGAAGCATAGACTGGATGTTAGCAAAATACCTCTTTTCAGCACAGCTTTTTCTTTCCAATGGTCACATAAATGGCCAACTATAGCTATTGAATATTCATACTGATCCCACTAATTTCTTATCAGTTAATTCATAAGTCTTGTCTTTCTAAAATGTCCATTGTGATAAGATCTCTTAATCTAATTGTTCACAGAAGTCATTTTGCTAAGCAAGCATATTCTGTCGTTTTTGTGTACCTAATTATTGAAATATTTTGAGAAAAATGTTTAGGAACATTGAAGATAACACTGACGAAGTGTCTGACTGGATTTTTATTGCTGTGTATATGAGCTAAATGTATATACAGGTACTTCAGTCATACTCCTAAGTTAGATGATGACTGCTGTGGAAAGAGACCTGAAGCTTGATTAGATTAAATAAAGTTGGAAGATTGATTTTTGTTTGTATTGTCCTTCAGAATGCCATGATTTTTATAACACAGAAGTTACTGGGCAATATAGTGTTTGTCTCATTGAAATCTGCAACTTTGGTGCAATTGTTCGTCTTTGCTCTTCCTTATGTCTTGCATAGGATTTTTTTGTCTGAACTTCTGTTTTTATTCAGGTTCTCTCTCTTGGTTGGTGTACACACACTACTAAATACACACTTCTGCTTTCTTAATAGTGAAGAGGAAAAAAAGTTCGAAAACGGAAGCCAAGGGCACTGTGACTAAAGTAACAGGGAAAAAAATAACAAAGATCATTGGTTTAGGAAAGAAAAAGCCATCAACAGATGAACAGACCTCATCAGCTGAAGAAGATGTTCCAACATGTGGTAAGTGTTTTTTTTTCCTTGAGTCTTAAATGCACGTTGCTATTAAAATTTTATAGCATTCTAGCTTAGGAATTTCTCTAAAATTTACTTTTACTGCAATAATTCTTCCCCAGCATTGGAAGGATGTACCCAGACTGCAAGAGGAGTAATCAGGAGTTTGTCATTTGCAGAGAGACTGAAATAATTTGACTTTTAAAATAAAACAGTAACACAGGCTGAGGTATCACTGCTCTTTGCAGAAGTGAGGAAGAGGAGGAAGAAATTGTGAAAAAGAAGCATAAAGAAACAAGTGCTGTTCTCAAACAGATGGTTATAAAATGAATATAGGCTGAACTATGAAATAAAATGAGGCTACAAAGTAGAAGAAGGTTCTTGGAAAGTGATCAGGTCTTTTATAGTAGATTGTGGTTAAGGTTTTATGGAATAGCAGACAGCAGTCAACTGGCCTCAACCAAAATGATTTGAGTTTAATTATGGGTTCCTAAAGTGGTACATATTGGACAAAATGAAGTAACAAATTTCTAGTAAGCTATTTTAACTCTTAATTTTGCCCATTCCATATGACAGCTGTAGTACACAAGGAAGTGTATAAAATGGCATGCAGAAAATATTGTGTGTTTTGTATTATAACTGTTAAGATTTGCTCACAATTTAAGACATTGTGCAATGCACTTAGCTGATGTCCTCACAGCTCTGCTGTTTTATAACAATACAGTGTACTTGCATTCTCCAGTTTATCTTTTGGTGCTCCAGTATTAGGTAACATTTACACATGAATAAGATTGAACTCACCCTTCACCCAATTCCTTCAAAAGACAAATTTCCTTGGAAAGCTTTGAAGCAGTTGCACCAGATTCTGAGTTTGGATTTTACCCTTTAATTGAGTAGAAAAACTTAGGGAAACCCAGAAGTCTGTGATTAGGGAGCAGCTGGCAGAACTGATTGGGGCATGAAGTGTGTTAGATGCCTGCCCAAGGTGGTGGCAGCAGGTCCATGGACCACCAGAGAGAACTCCATCGATTACAGGTAGCTTTCAAACCACACTTTGGGCATCATTCACATCAGCAAACTTTGATTGAATAAGTGCATGTATATGTGTCTATACATCAGCTAAGTACAGATGTGATTTATTGACCAAAAGAGCAGCTGAGGAAAGCTGTGTCCAGCCAGATGCATTGTCCAGAGCATCTGGCCTCCATAAGGGCTCAAACTTCCAGGCTCTCATACTCCATTGATTATTCTGCACTATGTGAGAAGTTAACCACTGCTGTGCAATCTAATTCCTCGTATTTCTATCATTAGTTTGGATATGGACATAAATACAGATTCAGCCATTACTATTTGGCTCTACTCAACACCACTTGCAGATTTTTAAGGAAAATATATAAAAGTCTAGCCTTTGGTCTTTGCAGGAAGTCTTGGCCAGAAGGAGTTTCTCACCACCAGCAGTTTGGCTCAGTTCAGTGCCCTCTGGGAGGCTGCTCCATAGTTGAAGGTTTTTACACTTTAGAAGGCTCTACCTCCCATGAAGAAAGGGAAAATCCCAACAGGGCTGCAGGTGTCACCCAGCTAGCGTAGAAACTAAAACCCACCTGCACTTGCAGTCCTGGCAAAGCTCTTGCCTTCACCACCACTGCTCCTGGAGTGCCTGCACCAAGCTGACGTGCTCCTGCCCCAAACGGGAACACACTCAAGGCATTTTGGTCAGGTCAGCTTGTGAAGGTTTAAGCAGAGATGTGGGATCCTATGTAGTTCAATTCTGAAGCAGGAAGTTTTGCAAGAGCTTTCCTGAGAGGTGCCCTGGGAGCAGAGGGGAAAAACTGTCTAAAAAAAAGGACTCTCACTCCAAAACAAGCTGTATCTGGCTTGCACGGGAAGGTTTTTTTTCATTTCTAGGGATTGTAATGTAATGCACAGTGATACAGGGTTTTGTTACAGGAGGAGGGAGGAGAGCTGAAGAGTGTGATTATCACAAGGAGCCAAAACCAGAGGATTAAGCACATCCTCATTTTTTATAGCACCTTCCAAGATGTGCACAATCCTGATCTGCTATATCCTGTTGGATCACACTTTGACATTGGAACCATAATGTTGGAAGGACAAGCTAGAAAAATGAATAAGTCATAGTTTTAATGAAAACCAAAGATAGAGCTCTCCAACAGGATTAAATGAAAATCATGTCTGAGATAGAAGACAGCTTTTTAACCTCACTTCTGGCTTTTGCAAGATATCATTTATTTCCCTCCTAGCCTGTTTGGAAGCAGCAACATGCTGAATTCATGTACCATTTGTAATGTGGAAGCAAAAGTAAAAGGTTTTTGTTTGGTGGGTTTTTTTTTTTCCCCCTATTTCCAAACTCTACTAAGGCAGGAAAAAAGGGCATTGCTTTGATTGTAGTGTTTGAGTCTGGAATGATTGTTGCTATGGCACAGAGAAGGAAAACCACAAAACTCTGCCTATATTCTTACCATGCTCTATATCAATATACCACTATATTGATATAGAGCATGGTAAGAAAACTGGGTGGTTTTAAAAGAAAATTTTTAATGACATTTTAATATGTAAGGATACTGTATCATAATTACTTCCTGAATTTTAAATCAACATGAATTTTATTTCTATTTGCAAAGGTAACAATCTTTTAAGTTCTGGTTTGCAAGTGCTGCAATCCAGATGTGCATTCTTCTTTCAAAATGTAATTAGAACATAGAGCATCAACACTTCCTAGGTCATTTAAACACAGCTTTTGGAAGTTACACAAGGTAGCTCAATACATACTTACATAATATGAGCTGTGATTTTCCCAGAAATGTTGGTCAGACACAGTTACCGAAGTCATTACCCACAGAGAGGCGGAGTGAGCACATTGGCTGTGTATGTTACTCTTTTCATCAGTGTCCCTCTCCCATTCTTACTGAAGTCCTGGGGACCTGTGTGTTCCTACACATGCAGCTGCTGCAGGCACTGACACAGAACAGCCATTTGGATCACATATTTATATGCTTTTTCTTGGTTATTGGCACAGTGAAAGTTTTCATTAAAAGAAGCGGGGCAGGGTCATTTACTTGTCTTCCTAAGATCCATCTGGACTTTCTATTAGAAGAGGAACAAGTTACTTAAAGGCTAGCATTACACTGAGAAGTGAGGTTTTTTTTTTCTCCCTTTTCAGAAAAAGTGAGGAGTAAAATATCTCACATTTCATTTTATTGCAGGATATCTCAACGTGCTCTCTAATAACCGCTGGCGCGAGCGCTGGTGCAGAGTGAAGGACAATAAGCTCATTTTCCACAAGGACAGGACAGACCTGAAGACACACATTGTTTCCATCCCACTCCGAGGCTGTGAGGTCATCCTGGGGCTGGATTCGAAGCATCCCCTGACCTTCCGCCTGCTCCGGAACGGGCAGGAGGTCGCTGTGCTTGAGGTACAGTGGCTGTGACTTTCAGCAACTCACACAAAGTGAATTAGAGAAGCACTTTCATACAGCCTTATGTCTGTCCATTCAAAAAAACAAAATCTTTGGCAGAATATTACTGCAGAGCTGAACAATAAATATTGGAAGGAAGAAAGAAGCAGTAAATGTTGTAGACAAAAAATGTTGTGCCGGAACGGGCAGGAGGTCGCTGTGCTTGAGGTACAATGAGGTACAATGTACAATGGCTGTGACTTTTAGCAAAGTAAATTAGAGAAGCACTTTCACACAACCTGTGTCTGTCCATTAAAAAAAAAAAAAATCTTTGGAATAATATTATTGCAGAGCTGAGCAATAAATGTTGGAAGGAGGAAAGAAGTAGTAAATGATGCAGACAAAGAAAGAACTGAGATTAAATGTAGCTCAGAAATCTTCTCAGTGAAATACTTTTCTCTACACGGACCTCCCCTTGACGTGGTGCTAGAATATCCCTGCTCCTTCTCTAGGCACACTTTTGTATCAGGGATATAGTCACTTTGGGTAAATAACTTAGCAATAAGTAAATAATGGATCACTGTTGATGAAAGCTTGAAAAGTCCTAACTTTCATTTGTCTGCTATTTATGGGAACTCCTTTTGCTCAGTCTGTGTCTGTATTAATACAATTATGCATTTCAGAAAATGCAGTGTGCTAGCAGCCTCGTGTGTCTCTTGATTCTCCTCACATACACACACCTTTGTCTGTGTTAGGTGGGTCAGGCTTTCTATGGGGACTTTATTCATCACCATTTAAAACCTAAAATGAGAAGACACTTAAAGCCGAGTGTAATGAGCAGGAAGCAACCTTCTACTTGCAGAAGGACAGGCACTTTGACTACTTTGGGTTTCTGATTACACATCAAGTCTCCTGTCCTTGCAACCAGGCCTGTTATATGACAGCAGTTCAGAGAATTTGAAAATAGAAAACAGCTCAAGGAACTGTGAAAAGCAGTGAAATATGTAAAAATAAGAAATCTAAAAACCACTATATTTTTTAATGACAAATTGTTGCCTTTCCCCCACTATTTCTATCCAATATTTGTTTTGCTGCTGTTTAACTTCTGAATTGGTGACTTGAAACAAAATATGAAAAAAACTTCAATTATTTTAATAGCATTAATGCTTTTACTTGTGTTATCAGGAAGATGAACGGCATCATTTAGACAAATGTAGCAAAATTTTTCAAAAAGTAACATTAAAATCTCTTCACTATTTTGTTCCCTCTTCCCTTTTGTTTCTGTTTAACAGTAACACTTTCTTCTCAGGAGTGTTGCTGTCCAAAAATCCTCCAGCCTAACATAAGAAAATAATTATGTTAAAGCTTTCAATATTCTGTAGTCTAAAATAAGCATTACTTGAATCTAAATCCACTGGCCTTAAATGATTATTTTTTCATCTTTTTAGTGGATTGCCCACTTTGTATTACATCATAAATGATGAGCACATAGCTTAGTTAAAGTGCCCTCCTTCTGGCAAAGCAGATTTAATATGAAATCCTGGGGTTTTTAAGAGTTCAGCAGAATGAAGCCAGAGCCTCTCATACCATGTGGTAGCAATTTGTCAACCGAGAAGAATGTGCGTTTTGCAATCATGCTCAGCCCAGTGGCAGAGCCAAGACCTGACCTGTGTTCTTGCCCTCTCCTCACAGGCCTCCTCCTCAGAAGACATGGGCAGATGGATTGGAATTCTGCTGGCAGAAACGGGGTCTTCAACAGACCCAGGGGCTCTGCACTACGACTACATCGACGTGGAAATGACGGCAAGCGTCATCCAGGCTGCCAAGCAGACCTTCTGGTGAGCGTGATCCCAGTGCTGCTCCCAGGGCTCTGGGAATTCACAGCCATGTCTTAGCTCCTCTGCCAGCGCTGCTAATCAAAATCCACCTCCTCCCTTGCCACACACTGAACTCCTGAAGTGGATCAGCATTGCAGCATGTTAGATGTGTTTGTGATTATTGTGTTGGAATCCTGCTAAGTTCTGTAAGAGATGCAAGGCACTGTGCAACTTTACTCAAATCTTTACTGATTTTTTTCAGTAAGTCCCCTTATCAAATACTATATTTTAATCTTCCATTTTACCTAAAGTCTTAGAGCTGTTCCTGGAAGAGAACAAATATTCTGAAATATAAAGCTACGTAATTCACATTTATTGGCTGTATTTGCTGTACATAGAGGGAAATATACAGCATATTGTATGTTATATGCTGCATATAGATATATATATATACTCACAGTATATAGCAAATTTAAATCTTGGACAGTCACATAATCCCTGTTTCCTTCTCAAGTTCTTTCTGGTTAATTAAAAACTTTATCAAACTCACCCCAGTGCAGTTAATTTCTGGGGTTTAATATAGGAGGTGGAAATTGAGAAAGTGCCTAGAGGATGCAGCATGGAAACTGTTTAAATTGCAAATCAATGGAGTGAATTCCCCATTACAGATCCTGTGCTAAAAGGAGAAATGCATACTTAGCAGATACAGTGATTTACACGTTCAAATCATTTGAGGCACTAAATCAGCCCTTGGTGGGGAAAACCATCATTTTTCCTTGGCTAGATGAGGTTTTTGTAAACAGGAGTGAAGAAACAGTGGGGACAGGGGGATGCCCTGCTGGAGTTGTTCCCTGTGGTCAGGAAGTGGGTGGCCTGAGAAGACAGCTGGCAAAGGCATCATCCCTCATCCTACTGCAAGATGACACTCCCTAGACTAATTTGGAATTTGTGTGACTTAATACATTAGAGAATCACACCCCATCTGCCCATCATGAGTTTGAACAGATAGAAAATGAAGGGGGAAAAAAATGGAAAAAAGCTTTGGAGTTTTCCAAAAGAGGATCCTATTGCCATTAGCAAGCTTCCAAAAGAAGTTAACAAGGGAAAATGCCCAGCTTCAATGAAAGTCCAGTTTCTGATGGAAATCAAAGTGACTCAGTGTTAATGCAAGCCCAGTTTTGTGAAAACCAAATAATTTTGATAGAATTAAAATGCACTTTGCGTTCAGACTTAACGTTAATATTTGTTTAGAAGTTAATAGGGCTCAAAAAGTTTCTCCTGTGTTGACATGTATTTTTGCTTCAGTCAGCATCTAGCAATAACCACATTTAACAGCAATAGAATGGTAACCTTTTCCCCATTAATTCTGCATGGCTTTCCTTTTCTGCACAAATGTGGTACTAATTGGAGCCAAGTGAAAAAACATATGCAACTAGACCACATGTTAGAAAGCAGTGTCAAACAACTTGCAAAATGGCAGAATTTCCCTGTTAAGAATTAATTAAAATTCATTGGGTGTCTTTAAGAGCCTGTGAGGGCTTGCTGATAAGCAATAGAGTAGCTGTCTGCTGATTTTCAACAACTGCTAGAAAATGAGGAGAAATTACAATGGTACTTAAATGTTAATGAACTCCTACATTTGCCCTTTATAGAATGAATATCAGTATTCCAAATAAAATGCAGTTATAATTAAAGCTTAGTTTATCACTCAGTCACTTTAGATTATTGGTTACTCACTTATTAAGACTGATGCTTTGCAAAACTATCAGCTTCTCATTAACAGTCCCATCAATTTCCTTCACCTAAATCATTAGGTATGGAGGAAAAGCTGAGGAAAAAGTGCTTCCAGGCAGATTTTCCTTCTAGCAGTTTCTGAATACAATTAATTTGCATGGATGCACCTGAAAACATGATTAATGAGGATTATTGAAATAATGATTATGAATTGTTTGCAATTACTGAGATAAATCCTGCCTTCCTTTGGTGGTGGAAGTATTTACCACAGGTGCATCAGATGCCACTAATGAATATCCCAGTTTTCAGACATGGTTTTGTATATTGCTGTAATCGGAGCCTCTTCACTAGGAAGAAATAGAGTAACAACTCCAAACTCAGTTCTTCACACCAACCAGAAACATTTGTGTAATGCTCTTCTTTAAGAACAGTGAACAAATGCAGCCCTCTAATAATGACTAACAAGGTATGAGTTATGATAAGGTTAAAAACGTTTTTATCATGGGATTTTCCTGGGCATTTTACTGTTAGCTTGCTTGAAGTAAGAAAAGCTTCTGTCTATCTTTTTTCCATCCCCACACTGCCCTGAAGGGTTCACAGAGAGCTGGGCAGGTTCATCCCTCCTGTGAGCCCAGGCTTCCCGTGGCTCAGGTGAGCCTCAGTTCTCCCTCTGAATAAGATACTCAAAGGACTCCATGTTATTCCAAAGCCAAAAAGAAAGCAACTGTTGAAACCACAGCATTCCTGAGCTCCTGCCAGCACTACAGAAGACCCTCTCTGCTTTAGCAGTGCTTTATCATATTTTATGAATGTCAGCACAGACTCTGAATAGTTCCATTGTTTGGGATGGAAAACATTGTTTTCCCATTTAAGCACACCTGAAACTGTAGGAATGGAATTATTTTGGATCTCACTCTCTACCTTATTCAATTCCAACAGTTGCTACAAAGGAAGACTCACCCTTGGAGTCTTTATTAAGCAACAGTGTTGATTGGAACAGGATAAGGGGGAAAAAATTAAAATATATTATATTTATGTGTATCCCTTTTGAAGTTTCCAGAGGACTCAGGCCCACCATGTGTAACAGAGCAAGAATGAGCATATAGAGTATTTGCATGTACAATTACCCATAAAGAGTTGGGAAGCGTAGTGCCATAGCCAGCCAAAAGTCCTGATGCAGAAAAGAAGAATTCCCAGGTTTTGAGGAAGTAATTATTCAGGAAATTTTTATAGAAATGTTAACTTGGATTTCATTGAAATTATGTGGGTTTTTTTTTTTTTTTAATTTCTGCTGGATTTTATTCTTATTTCTGTTATTTCCTAAGTTTGCAGCCCCTTGGGCATGCATGCACACAGAAACACCTGCTTCTCCCCAGTGCAGACAGCAAGGGAGCGTTTCTGGGACCCTGTCAGGCTGGTGTGTAACAGAGACCAGCAGGTTCCTATGTAAACATGCCACTGAGCAATTACAGCTGTTGCCCTCCTGGCCTTCACACAGCTATATCCCCACTGCAAGAATGGAGAACAGGAACATATGTTGTGTTCCTGGCTGTAGCAGCAGCGTATGAGTAGCAAAGAAAGAAAAAACCACCCTGCGGAAAGCGAGAAGCTCCGTGCTTCCAGGCTACATAATCAGGCACAGGGAATATACCACTGTATCATCATTTAGGCGTAAGTTTGAGTGCTGGTTTTCATTATTTTCCCTTTGCATTGTGCAGTTTCATGAACAGGCGGGTGATATCCACGAGCCCGTACCGGGGGAGCGCTGCCAACGGCTACGCCTGCCCCAGCGGGATGGCCCTCCACTACGACGATGTTCCCTGCATCAACGGATCGGTAAGAGCTCAGCCTGCGTACAGCACTGTTTTGCATGTGTTCGTTGCCATGTGGACATCTGAAAATTGTATTATCTAAAGATCCTCACTGGGCAGTTTCCAGATGAACTCATGGTTTTTTGATTGGGGGTTGCAGACTCCTCTCACACCTATAGAATATAAGGGCATGGGACATATTGTTTACATTAACCTGCATGTGAGCCAATGTGCATTTAGAAAGCAGTTGCCTGTTGATGATTTTTTGCCAAGTCCTTGAATATAATACTCACTTGAGGAGGTATTTTTTTAGATCACACTGGAAAGGGCAAAATTAAGGACTCAGTTACACCAGGCACTTTTTGATGTCTGTTGAAAAAACACTGACACCGAAACACTTCTCAGTCCCTGTGGCTGCATTCCTGAGGTTACAGGTGCTGCTTGTCCCAAAGGAGAACCACAGTGGTCACCTCCATCTTCATAAAGTGCAGAGCTGGTCGTAGGCAGATGTGTAAGAGGATTTAACATCTAGTGGATGCTCACCTATAGCAATATGGGGTCCTCAGGAAGGTTTGCAGGGGAGCTACAGCCTATGTCAGCTCTTAATTTGGGCTGTTGTATAAAGGCCCCACTAAGGGCGAACTCAAAGGAAATTAATAGTTTCAAAGTGTGAAATTAACTGGACATTCAGTCCTCCAATATGTCAGTAATGTCCAAAAGATGCTAGAAATCCCCTCTTGGGAACAGTGCATGATCACTTGTGTGGGGAGCAGTCTTTGAGTAGTTCTTGGATGTGCTCATGCCTTTGTTTGAGTAGTGTACTGCCATGGCCAGGATGGGTTAAGGAAGAATATTTAGCAATCAGGTGGGTTTCTTTTAAGATTAATCAGATGAACCACTGGAGTACTATTGTTGAGCTTCCCATTTGCTAAAAATTAACAAAAAAAGGAGCTATTTTAGTTCTTGTAGCTCAGAATAATAAATCTCTGTCAAATAAAATGTGCAAGCATACCAGCAGCTGATATTCATGGGAAAGACATCTAACCTGAAGAAATTAAAAAAACAAGCTAGAAAAAACTTGGCTTCTGATAACTGCTAGGCTATATTACTTTTAGCAACTCATGTACCAGATGTAATCCCATGGACTCATCTGTGCAAACTGTGAGCATCCCCCTGCTAACAGAGTCTGCCTCTGCCCCCTGGGTGCTGAAGGTGCAGTCAGGGTGTTAGGCGTGCTTGGACTCAGGGCTGAGGCTGTGAGCCGTGGAATGCAATGCTTGTTTTCCACACAGTATCCTCCCCCCACTTTCTAAATAGTGTCAGTAGTAAGGATGTATGCTCGCTAAGCACTGTGGGCTTGCTGGAGTCCAAAGCATCACTAATGTTTTAATTTCACTTAGGGGGTTCTGCATGGTGCATTGTTCACTAACTGCTGAGGTGTGTGTGTTGCAGTGGGAACCAGAAGATGGCTTTCCTTCTTCTCGTAGCAGGAACATTGGAGAAGAAATGCTTTATGATAACGCAGGCCTGTACGATAACTTGCCGTCTCCAAAAATCTTTGCGCGCTATCCGCCAGCTGACAGGAAAGCCAATAGGTTATCTGCTGACAAACTCTCCTCTAACCATTACAAACACCCTGTCTCATCCAATCTGTCTTCTGCTCAGTCTGTCACTAATACCTCTGCTGTGGGGAGGGGATCTGGCTCGCAGGTACTGTACTGTTTAATACTTAACAAAGCTTTTTATTTGTTCTGTTTATCTTGTTGTTATCTCTAGGAACTCTTAGAGTCTCTCAGTGTTAGCACTGAGGTGCCTGGACTTTAGTTATGAGCCCACTGCAAATGAAGCAAGTTTGCAAAGGTGTAAATTCCAATGTGCAAGTAGTGGTACATAGAAAAGGCTTTGCCAGCATGTTCTTGATGATTTACAGATGGTGAATAATACCAAAAAATCAATGTGACCTTCCACACCTAACCTGAATGCATGTCTAGCTACCTTTTGGCTCCTCGGGCAGAGACATTTTAGGAAAAAACCCAAAAAAAGATAGGTGACATGTGACCTGACTGTGACAGCAAATTTGGCTCTTTAGAAATTAGTATATATTAGTATATATACTAATCTATATATCATGTATACTTTTCTATATATCATGTATATTTTGGTTATACATTTTATGAATATGCATATGTATAATAACTTGATGCTATATATTTAGTAAATTATGTTGTATATATTCATAAATGACATCTATATATTACTAGTATATTACTGCCTATTATTTTCTTCCCCTAAAAAAAAAGAGGCTATTTCTCTGCTGCTTTCTGAGGGTGGCTGCAGGCTTTTGTACCTCAGACATGAACCTACAGAGCAGATGAAGTCCTGTGAGCTCAGCATTGGAGCAGATGGGCACAGCCCAGCAGGGGAGCAGAGCAAGCCTTGCTCACAGCCATGCCAGGAACCTTCTCAGAGCCCTTAGCTGGTCTCTGAAAGGGGGTCATTGGCTTAAACCAATGTATCACAGTGTGAATATATCACAGTGATGCACGGTTTTCAATCTAATCTGACATGGAACAGTTAAGATAAATGTTTCCCTTGTAAAAGGTACCTATCATACTGTGTGTTAACTCACTTAACCCTTACAAAAACTTCATATTGGAATATTGGAATTCAGTGCAATGCATAATTGGAGGTGGACATGAGCAATAAATTACTACAGCAGCGAGCTTCTTAGTGCATTCCCAATTCAGTCCGCACAAACTTTTGGGAGCAGGAGAACAGAGCATGGCACACATGTGCCCTGTGCTTGGCTGGAGCATCCTCCGTGGAGACACTATGAGTAGGACTGGGTTATCTTCCCAGGCTTCAGTTCATTGCTGTGAGCCCTCTAAATGGAAACCCCTTGAACATGAGATGCTCTGTTCCTGGTAATCTGTTGAGCCTGTCTGGCCATTATGAGAGGGTTTTTCTAAAGTAAGGAAAGCTTTTAAGTAGTAGCTAGTAGTTGTATAAGGGGGAAATGATATATTAACTCCTAGCACTTAAAAACATGTAATAATCATATTGTTTCAAAAAAAATCCACAAGGATGGCATGGTCATATAGTAAATAAGAAATAATGTTGAATTTTTTGTGTAAACCTGGTAGGTTATACTGTGTGAAATTAAACCCTGGTAAACCCTGGTAGGTTATACTGTGTGAAATTAACTCTGAAAAACTTGTGTTTCAAGAGTCTTTACTGTAAAAAAAAAAATTAAAATATACATTTTTTTCTGCCTTGCAGTGGCTTTCTTAATACTGTAAATGCCAGGGTTCTAAATGCCTTGGAAACCATGATGCCACCAGAAACAGGGAGTTCATCCCCTTGTTATCCTGTGATTGCTGGCACGGCTCCCGCTGAGCGGGCAGCTCCCAGAGGCATCTCTGGAGGAAGCGCCGTCTCCAGCTCGATCAATGTGCTCTATTAAGGCTCTCTGATGTAGCAGGCAGCTTTCTGTCAAGCTCTGCCCTTGATGAAAGGGTGAAAGTAATGCCAGCGGCACGGGAATAGCTGGAGCCCATTTGTACTTTTGTTTTCAAACAGTTTAAAGGCAAGAAGCCTCCTGTGACTGCTAATGGGATCGCCGGAAAAGCGAGGACTTTAAACAGCCAGCCCAAGAAATCCGAGACGGTTTCCTGTGTGAAGCGCACGGCATCCAGTAAGTGTCGGTCCTCACTGCTGCCTCTGAGTGTCTGTCCTCACTGCTGCCTCGCTGGGGAGCCAGGAGGGTGCCCAGAAGGGCTCCTGTCTTAGCGGACAAGGTACAGCACCAGTGTGGTTTTGTGAGCTGAGAGGCCGAGGACGAGATGCCAAGACTGAGCAGGAGATACTTTGGTGACTTAACTCCAGCCACGCCACACGAGAAAAGGGTGCCGCTCATATGGGAGAAGGATAAATATGAAATGTGGACCTGTGGCTGCTGTGAAGTCATGAGGACAGCAGGGAAAAAAAGAAGGATAATGATTCCTCATTTGGAGCAGAGGAATTCTTTCTTCCTGTTGGAAAAGGAGGATGAGGAGCTGGTATAGATGTAGGAACACTGTGTTGCTCATAAGTGGACTTATTAATGAAGTCTTATTTAAGAAGCCGTGGATTTAATGGCAACAAGAGAAATTGGTTTAGACTTTAGGACTAAAGTAAATAGCTTCTAACTGACTAAAACTGGCTTAACAACTCTTTGTCAGGAATTATTTCATATCATAGAGTGTGCCTTCAGATATGTGACGAAGTGATCTCTCAGCTGACCTATCTTCTTTGAGTCTGCAACTGGAGCAGAGCTGTAGAGGGGGCTGTGATATGAATCAGACCACAAATATATGTCAGCCACGAAATGAAAGCATTTGTATGGGAAATTAAAAAAGAAAAAGAAAGCTGCCAGGCGTCAAAGAAGTGTGAACATCTTTGTATTCTCTTATGTAAGGTGAGAAAAGATGTGCGCTTGAAGTAGGAATGAAAGTCAGGCAAAAGGCCAAGCAGGTGGTTTTTCCTCTGACCCTTTCAATTAGAAATGAAGGGTTCATAGCTAGAGAGGAGCCTCCTTTCCATCTTCTGAACTACAGAGAAAGGCAAGGCCATTTTTCAAAACCAGTGTGCTATGAAGTAACTGGTATATCTCATTTTCCTCATGTAAATATAAAGAACATACTTTATCCCATATCATTGTTATAGCTGTGCTGCAGAACTTGGCAGAAATCATGGACCTTGAGAAAGAGCCAGTTGAGGAGGAAGGCCAAACCTTTTCCTCAAACCATAGAATTATAGAATGGTTTGGGTTGGAAGGGAGCCTTGAAGATCATCCAGTTGCAACACCCTGCCATGGGGAGCCGTGACATGCTTCGTGTCATGTTTAGTCTCAGGGCCCAGTTCAGGGTTGTGCTGTTAATTTAAACCCTAATTAACTACAATCTGATACATGCAGATGCAGAGCAGTACAAATATGGCAAGAATCGTGTGGAGGCAGATGCAAAGAAGTTACAAAGCAAAGAAGAGGAGCTGCTGAAGAAAAAAGAGGCCCTTCGGAACAGGCTGGCCCAGCTCCGGAAAGAAAGGAAGGATCTGCGTGCTGCCATTGAAGTCAATGCTGGTAGGAGGTGCTTCTATGTGCTGAATTCTCACCTGAGAATTAGGCTTAGTTATCCAAACAGCTTTGTATTCTGTGCTGAATGTCACCCTAAACAAGGTTAGGTTTCAGTGCTGAGCAATGCTCTGTAATGTCTATATTTGCTTTCTATATAGATACAAAATGTAAAAGATAAAAATACATATGTGTAAGTGTATGTCCTTATTTTATATATGCATGTGTATGTATACACATACCTAAGGAATTACACTGGTGTGAACTTCAGATAAGAAGAGCATGGGAATAATACTTTTGTCACTAGCTAATTATATTTTCATGATACAGAAAAATAAAGAAAACAATACTGATTTGAAACCAGACTAGATATCTAAGAATGTCACTTGATAGAAAGCATTTGATTTATGCTACTAAACTTCTTACTTTCAAGCATTTTATATAAAGTACCTAATTTTTTTTATGTCACTGATACGTAGAGACCTTGTTTCCTTACTTTTTAGAAAGAAAATAATTTCTCTAAGTGTCATTTAAACATTTTTATTATTATTGGAATAATAAAATTGCTGTGAATGACAGGCAGGAAGACCCAAGTGATTCTCGAAGACAAGTTAAAGAAGCTGGAAGAGGAATGTAAGCAGAAGGAGGCTGAGCGTGTAAATCTGGAGCTGGAACTGACTGAGGTGAAGGAGAGCCTTAAGAAAGCCTTGGCTGGTGGCATCACACTGGGCTTGGCTATTGAGCCCAAATCAGGGACATCAAGTCCACAGGTATGCAAAGCCACTGAACATGCAAATCCCAGTTAATGGGCTGGGACTGCTCAGCCTTCCCAGCTCCAGCCAAAATGAGTAGGAACTGAGAGTATAATGGTTTTTTAAGCCCGAGAAATAAGAGCAGAATTCAGTTCCTTTCTGTGTTATTTACATTTCCTGCAGCAGCAACAGGGAGCAGGTAGATAGGGGAATCACAGGCAGGATATGTTAGGATAATGTGCAAAAAGCCAGCACCTTGTCCTCAGTGATTGTATAAGTGCAGCAACCAAGATATTGCTCCAGCCCAGGGAGATTTAAATGCACCAAGTCATCATGCAGTGATGAAGATCTGCTTGTGCTGGTCCCCTGTCAGCTGTGTCACACTCTGCAAGGGCTGCATCTCACACCTTCAGGGTGGAGCTTGTGCTACAGATCTATGTCTGAAGCAGCCATCACAGAAAGATCAGAGAGGGATACATCAATTCCTCTGGATTATCCATACTTGTTTGATCAGACCCATAGCTGTTTAACAGAAAAGAAACATCAATTTTCATCACAGAACACACATGCACATTGTTTTGTTTCCTGTGCTCTAATCTCCTTTTCGTCTATTCATCATTATGAACATAGTTTCTTTAAAAGAGTTCTGCAGTTCTGAATCTAAAGTAGAAAATATTGTACGTGTGACTACTTGGAGGAAACTCAATATAGGCTTTTCACTCCTTATAGTCTCCCATTTTCAAGCACCGAACTTTGGAAAACTCTCCCATCTCCAGCTGTGATACCAGTGATACTGAGTGCTCCATCCCTGTGAACAGTGCAGCAGCTCTGAAAAGACCTCCCTCATCAAACAGCTCTCCATGTCGGGGCCATGTCCTTCGAAAAGCAAAGGTGAGAGCACTCATGTCTTAATTGTCTTCTTCTGTGCTTTTTCGTACTTTCTTACAAAGTCTTATTTAGCCTTAAGAAGAGAGTATCTAAATTATTCATATTACTACATAGTATTGCTGATTTGGAGAACCTTCTGCAGAAGAGTTGGTAAGTAAGTTTGGGAGACAGATTTGACTCTACTCTGATTCCGTGTTTTTCTCTGTTGCTTTTTTGATTTGATTTGCAAAGTAAGTAGTCTGTGGTGTAGACAGTCCGTGTGTCCACTACTCTGTATAGCAGAGAAGTGGTTAAAAGAGCACTGTTACAGTGAGTGATTAGAAATGGCACAAGATTGGGTCTGACCTTTTCCAGCCGCTGCAAGAACATTATAATTAATGAGAATGTGTTGTGCAAGTATCTGCTCAATGTACATTTAAAGCAAAAGTTTAATGACTTAAATTTTGTCTTGCAAGTACCAGGCTGAAATTTGCTGTCTTCTTGTATTGTTACAGTTTTCTAATTTTTGTGGTTTAGTTTAAGTGGGATTTGTATAACCATTCTTCTGGGCTAAATTTGCTGGCAGCATAAACATGTGGGCAACACATAACCAAGGGTGGCAGTAATAGTGCTGGGCCCAAGCTTTTGTTTATTTAGTAGTTCACTGCTAGTTGTAATTATAAACAGCAATAATCATAAACACTTGTCATTCATGAAGGCTACTTCCTTTTTTCATTGATGTCTTCTGTACTTGGATTTCTTCAAGTAACTTTTGCTACATGTATTCATTGATTATATACATTTCCAGTATCTGAGCATAAGCCTGGAACCTAAATGTAGTAGATACTGAAAAATCAGTATCTAAAAAAATTATTTTATTATTAAATTATCATAATATAATTATTTTTCCTGATGCACCATTTGAGACAGTTTTCTCACACTTCTTCTACTCCCTTTGCATGGACATCAACTGCTTTTTCCTGCCAGTTAGCCTGATTCATTTAAATCCAACTAAGAATAATTACACTCAGCATAATAGGTTTCAGTTCTAATCAACTTTGAAGTCTGCAGCTTGTGTTTCAAACCTGAGGAAGGATTTATGTGCTCTAAAGCTTATCTGTGTTTTCCAATTATAGCCTAATTTGTGCCATAACGATATCATCTCTAACTGTACACTTTGTCTTAGATGTGGATGGTAGCTCAGCAATACTCAGGGAGTGTGGTCTAGCAGAGCACAGTGCTTGCAAATGGGTGCATGGATTTGTGCTGGACAGGCACATTAAATCCAGACATCTAATCGTTACAGCTGGAGAAACCAGGGCATTATAAAAACCTAAATATTTTTGGTGTAAAGAATACCTTCCTGTAGTATATTTTTTATGCTCAGCACATACCATGCAGGAAAAGCCCTCCTGTGTTTGGTGCCAGTGTGCTTTGGATGGCACCATAAGTTGGTCAAGCTTTTTGGCAGAGGAATCTTGGATATAGGATTAGGCTAATCAAAAAGGATATGGAGCAACTAAACATATTTTTCCCATGCTGTGAAAAACCACTCAAAGTATCCAATTCAGCTTGAACAGCTTTTTCCCTAAAACCTCATGCACTAAACATTAGGAGTGAAATGTTGCTGAATTAGATAGTGCAACCCAATCTGTTCCCAGCCCATTGGCAGCCACAGCTGCTATCAGGTGCACATCTGCAGCACGCCCCACGCTCGGGGGTCGCTGTACGTGTGCGGGGGTGGAATTTGGCTCTCAATTCTTTTGGCCTTTTGCAGCTGTGAGTGAGCCCAGGCCTCGTAGATGTGACTCAGGAAAGGGTGTCACACATGAGTATCCCAGAGCAGGACTTGGCTCTCCAGGCGTGGATGTCAGTGCAGTTTGTGGGAGTGAAACTGATCCCACGCCTGTGCTCGGGCTTGTATCTCCAGCAGCTGGCACCTCTCCCGATGCTATGAGGGAGTTGTATAGATGTTAAAAATATCAGAATATGGTTTTTACTCCTGGTGTGTATTTGAATGCACTGAATGCCTCCCTCCTTGGCCTTTTCCTTGCATGGAGGATGCTGAGCCTGTTGCCTGCCAGCCTTGTGTCACGGCCATGCTCACCAGGCAGCAGTGCTGCGCCTGTGCCTCTGTGCCCTGCACGCCTGGGACAGCAGCTTTGGAAGCTCTGCCACCAAAAGCTTTCTCCTCTCAGATGCTCTAACATTAGAAGGAAATACAGAGAGAAGCAGTAAGACAGATCTAGTGTTAAGAAAGAGCAGCAATTTGGGGATTGGCTGTTCAGGACACACATTATACTTACACATACATAATTTGAATTTTTAACTTCGCTTTTTCACAAGTATCTTTAATTTTTTTTTTTTAGAAAGTAATTATGTATATTTTTATAAAGCCAGAAGGCATTTTAATTGCAATTTTGTCTAATCTGTACTTGGCTAGAAATGGAAACTCCAATTAAAATATGGAAAATAATATTCTGCGTCAGTAGTCCTAGAGAAGTAAAAAGATTCAAATATCCTTTCTGTACAGCAATTATTAAATATCAAATTAGTTTCTAAAGCCAAATTGTTATGGGTAGCAAGAAAACTGAAATTAGTATTTCTGATTTGGTTTTGAAACTAGTGGGCTGGTGAATGTCAGCATCTTACATCTCACTTGTGTTCAAGGACTGGAGAAGAAAAGGAGTTGTCCCAGTTTCCCAGCTCCCAGTCAGGCTGTCAGTGTTGACTGAGACATTCTTTCCTTGGTGAGAACCTGCAGAAGCAGTGGAAAGAAACAAAAAGTTCCTTTTGCACCTGCAAAAGAAGCTTCTGCTTTCAAGCCTTATTTAACACTTCAAAGAAAATCTCCTCCCAGTTGCTTAGCCAAGGACTTCCTTTATAGCTTTGGTAGCATATCTATGGAGAACACAGATTTAATAAAGTTTTTAAAGTAATCTAATTTCTACCAGTACTACGTTTTAACTTTAAAATTACCATAATTTGAAGAGTAAAACGGAATATTTAAAATACACTGAATTTTAGTAAAAGCACCAATTAAATTTAAAAAAAAACAAACAGAAGTTTAGAAACAAAGTAAATTATTGTCTAATTTTAAACCCATGGATATTATTTTTTTTTTATATTGCTAAAGCAGCCATCAACTGTGACCTTTACTGTTACTTTACAACAGCTGAAGAGGTGTCATGTTCATACAGCTGTTGAGCCAAACTAATGCTCTTACTGCTTTCAGCAGCAGGAACAGCTATTTACATGCATAAGTAATGGATTTCAGTCAGAGCTCTTAAATGTTGTGGAATGAGTGTTAAATTGAGGAACTCAGGTTGGAAGCCAAGTCAGCAGGCTGCCTGCAGAGTGTCTCTTTCTGGTGGGTCAGAGAGGATCTGCAGCCCCCAGTGCCTGGCGAGGAGCAGCTGGAGGGTTCCTCTAAGGGGATTGCAGGAGCCGGAGGCCATCCCTGGGGATCTTCAGTGGCTCCTGATGGCTGAAAGGGTGGGATTCAGGGAGGGGTGCAGTGTGGATGTCCTGAGCTGAGCCTGTCCTGCTTCAGCCCAGGTGTCATTTGATGGCCACAAGTTTTACTGACCTGGGGGCTCAGCTGTGGCATTCTCGTGATTTTCACTTAAGTGGCAGAAGAAATGGCAATACCTTGCTCTGAGACAAGTGACCGAAAGCATTATAGGTAACATTTGTTTGCTGTGGATGGTGTCCCTGCCCTCAGCTAACAGGTGAGGAAACTGAGGCACAGAAAAGTCAAAGCAATTTCTTTAATTTGCCACGCAATAGCTCAGTTTGGATTATCTGTAGGGGAAACAAATGCAATGCAAACTGACTTGTTTCTCTTAACCCTTCCTGTCAGTCTCTCTGCTAAGTTGCTCTTTTTAGTTATAAATTTATGTGTTTGCCATGAGTCTTATAATAAAAAAATTGAAGAGCAGTAAAGCAATCACTTGGTGTCAGCTCTGAGAGATATTGAGGGCTTCCTGCTGTCTTACACCAGTCATTTAGAGAGCCTTGTGTGCTTCAAGCAGCCTCTCCCTTACTCAGGGAGAGCTGAGTGCTTTACACCAGCTGTGGGGTGTCAATTGCTCCAGAAGTCCCCTCTGCAGAATACAAACATGGCTTATTTGCACTGCACTAGAAAATATTTTGTACATAGTTGTGGAAGGGTGGATGCTGTGCAAAGACTATCAGAACATACTTGTTATCATTCCCTAACTAATTTTTGGGCTGAATCCAGCAAAGTTAATGAAAAAACTGTTATTGAACCCACTTGTGGCTTAGCAGATATGATGACATCAGTGAATTATCCTGATTTCTTTTAACATTTTCTGTATCTTTTTTTTTTTTCCCTTTCCAGGAATGGGAGATGAAAAATGGAACATAAACATAACAAAGCCAGTCACTTTCCATAAAAGCCTTACCTACTACAGACCAAGACTTAGGCTGCAAAGGACTCACCTGGAAGGTCACATCAAGTGATAAAACATGAGAAGTTTTATAACTCTGTTAAGTTAATGGTAGCTTGGCGCTAATTTGCCTGTATTCCCTCTACTGTATTGCTGTGTAACTACGTGTGCCCCTTTTTATTAGCTGTAACTCCTTGTTTCCAACTTCACTGGTAGAAAAAATGAAAACCAAAAAAAAACCCAACCATAGGAACTAAAAAGGAGCATAAAGTCACAGTTGCAAGTTTACTTTGCTGAAGCAGCAAAGAGCCAGCAATGTTAATTACAGTGCATCAGACAGCTGGAACACTGCTGAAGACTGGTGGGAAATCCTGACTCCTGCAGGTTAAAACTGCCTCTGGAACTGTGCCACAGAGCAGGTCTAACTCATCAGCAGAGGCTTTGCTGGTGGCTGCTCAGCCCAGCAGCTCTGCAGGGCCACAAGGACTCTTTGGTGAAGCATTTTTGGGATACTTTTCAGACAGATGCTTTTGTCATGGGGAGATAAAAAGCTGCCAAACTTCGAGACAGATGTGTTTTTGTACATTCTCTTTATTGCTGTTCTGAAGCACCAGTCATCTTCAAAGGTCATGTTCTTGAACTATGACTTGTTCCTGATTTTTTTAAAAGGCTAACAGGTATTTTTAGATACTGCTTCTTTTCTATACATTTTAAAGAAGAAAAAGAAAACAATTGAACTTAGTCCTCAACAGAAAACGGCAACTCAGAATGACTTATGCATTCAGTCTTGTTTTGTTTTTTATAATATAGTATTGTTAAACTTGAGGTATAGAACACTGCTGTACTTAGTTTCCTTTGTCTGTTTTCAGACCTCAGCTATTATTTTTGAGGAAGATGGACTGAAAAGGTAATAATTTTCAGACTCTTCTAAACAGTTCCACAAATAATTGGGGATTTTCCCAAACAGGGGTCCATTTCTGATTACTAGGAAATAACACCTTGCATTTTAGTCTGTAAAATTACAAAAATCCGTCTCTTATCCATGTCATTCCCGAGAAATAACATGCAGTAAATTGCCACTGAAGCCCTGCAAAATCTCAAGATTGGTTTTAAAAAATCAGAAGGGGGTTGGAGGAGAACGTATAAATCAGATGGCTTCTTTTAAGTTTTCTCTTTTGTTTTTTTTAGGCCTTTGGAGAGCTTTCAATCATACTCTCAAGATTTTTTTCCTCCTCAACTGCGAGGAGTAGAAAATTAATTTTAAAAATTACCTCAAAATATGAGTAGTGTTTTAATCACAGATGTTAGGGCTGGAGTCTTGATAATTAGTTAAGACTGCAATTAAAATCACAGAAGTTGGCAAGACAGCAGTTATCAAGGATCGCATCCCTTTGTGGCCAAGCCTGCAGATTATCTCTTACCTTTAGGAATGGGTGTGCGCAACTCCTGGGGGATACCCTGGGATTCTCAGCTGAGCTGGATGCCAGAGGACTTCCTACAGGAGCTTGTGGGATTTGAGGGCACAGATCTGTCAGAAAGACCTGACAGCTGCCAGGAGATGGCAGAGATGGGGCTGTGTCCTGTTCCCAAATGCATTTAGGGCAGGGACCCCACTGACCTCAGCAGTGTGGAAATGGGCCCAGCATGAGAAAAGGCTCTTTGCTTCTTGGTACAAAGGGCCACAGGAATGCAGACACGGTAGGAAAGCAAGTGTCAGTGTGGTTTTCATTGAAAACACAATTTTTTAATATTAGTTTAGGTCACTTACTTATTAATAAACTCTCTAACTCGAGGGCACATTCTGTATTCTGTGACTATGGACTAAACAGCATCAAATTCCCATAAATAATAGCAGAAACAAATTTGAAACAAAAGTAAGTTCATTTAGGCTTTTTATTTCAAATTAAGTTATTTATTTGTATATTTCAATAAATATTTAATTTATATCTGTACATATTTATAATGCAAATTAGGCTTCTAGTCAAGGTTAGCAGTGATGTAACAGTTTCCATTAAGAAGTGGTCCCACATGAAGTAATGCAGAGTAGTCAAAAGGCAGATCACTTGTCTTGTTTACCCAATATTGGCATTGTCTCTTTCCACCCCCTTATCCCATGGTTAAAAAAAAAAAAAAAAAAGAAAAATTCCTTGGCAAGGACAGGTTTTAATCTATGCCTGAGGTGGATGTGTGTAAATCTCTGCCCAGGCAAATGGAAATTGTGTGGTGCAGCCTTCCTGCAGCACCTGTAGCACCCTGGGCCCCTGTGGTGCCTGCTGCACAGGGGCTGCCCCCTGATCTAAACATCTTCCACTCTTCCTCCAGCAAAGGCTCCACAGAGCCACCACCACTTTAGTCTGTTCTGTGTAACAGCCAAGGTTCTGAAAGGAAGAAAACCAAAAAGCTTGGGAAATAACCTCTCTGTAGACCACTCTCAGTGCTGTGAAATGTACTCTGTTGCCTTGAATAGCACTATTGCTGCACAATTTTTTATAAAGAGCAACAGAACCTGTATTTTTCACTGTTTTTAGATTCCAGGATCACCAGGCAAACTCGGCCATAGAGCAGCATGACTTCTGTTTTAAAGGAAAATTCTCGTATTTTGAACCATTTATATGTCTTCTAAGAAAATGTTACACTTGTACTTCCTCACCAAATGCCTGTTACTGTACCAGGTGCTTTTTTTAAATTGTTTGTTTTGTTTGGTTTTTTTTTAAATGGGTGATGCTTTTTTTAATAAAATCCCAGATCATAACTTTGGGGGATCAAGGGTGTTTTTTTAATGAGATGATTGTGGCAATTTGATTTTTCAAATGGAGAATATTAATTTAGTATCAAGTTTTGTTAGACACTTTCAAATTAATTGGCCAAGGGTGTATGTTGTATGATAGTGTTCTCATATTAAGAATGTAATTATTTCCTTATTGTATTTTTTAAAAAACAAAATCATATTTAAAAAAAAAATCTCTGTGAAAAAAAGCATGATAGAAACATGAAAAAAAAGGTTTTGTTTTATTTTTGTTATTGGATATGTTGGCAGTGCCCATTTTAATTGACTGTAAATATAGCCTTTCTACTGTATTTCTCAGTGTATTTAAGTTTTTTCTGACACACATTCATGGACACTTCTGTTAAAAAAAAAACAAAAACAAAAGTCCAAAATAGACCCACCTTCAAATGTGTGTCTTAGTAGCTTCAACTAACTTTATGCCTTTCTAGTTTATTCTTCAGAAAGTCTTGCAAAGTGTGAAAAAAGACTGGCACCTGGTGGGTGCGACAGATCTGAGACCATTATTAATAAAGTTACCTGTCAAAAAAAGGATTTGCAGTGTTGTTTCTTGGTGTTGGTCAGTTCCAGAGGCACCCTGAGGTGCTGAGGTGGCACCTTAGCAGCTCTCCCACAATAGTCAGCGCTCAGCTGAGAACCATTCTCCCATGCCAGTCAGTTTAAAAATGTTTGGACATTATCATGAGTGTTTTTTGGCATCAGTTGTATCCCCATTTAACTGAGCAGTGACCTCCTGCAACTTGAATGTCCAAGGACTCTCTTGGCAATGGAAATGTGGAATTTGATGTATTTAGAGCTCATAGCAGCACTTCCTGCCTGCCTGTTGCATCTGCACCAGCTTGCTTAGATGTCAACTCCACTAATAAATTATGCAATATGTAAAACATTAAAAATTACCTCTAAGAAAGGAAAGTGGATTAAAATTAAACTGAGCTGATTACCAGGCTACTTAAAGATGAATGTAGCAATTTCTTGTAGATGACTGACAGATGAGATTGAGAAGTGTTAAGCTGTAATTACTCCTTGCTGCTTTTCTTAGATTTTGCTCTTGCTCCTGTTACACCACAATTATTACCAAACTTATAAAGTAAAAAGCTTAAGTAGAATACTGAGGGAAGCAGTATTCTAAAGTAGTTAATTGGGTTTTTTCCTGTAGTTACAGCCTCCAAGATCATAATGGAGTTTTAATAGGTATGTCCATGTACTGCATAACAACTAAAGACAAAAAAATAAATGAAAACAAACAAAAATTAACCTAAAAACACAACAGGAAAAATTAAAAAAAAAATAAACCTGCTATAATCCTGTGGTCTAAAATGCAGCAAGTATCTCTAGTCTCTGTCTGATTCACAAGACTTGCAGAAGCAAATGGCAAAAAAGACAAAACCACCTGCATTGCTGGTGTCTCAGTAATCTGCATTTGTAGCTATACAACATTATCCAAATGGCTCTGACTGCCATAAATAGATAAACTCTATGGGAGATGGTACAAGGGCACAGCAATCCCTCCAGACAAGGAAAAATCCTATTCATATTACAGTGAAGTTCAAGGGAAAAACAAAGATAAGGTCATTCCAGTGTGGAAAAAAAAAATAATCTTGAGGAGGGAATTGTGTTAACACGTTATAAAAATGGGGAAACAAAATAGTCCCTGCCACTAACAGTACAAACACTGAGGGTATCTGAATCAATGATCAGGTTCAAAACAATTGCTCAATTCAGCTGCAGAACTTGTCACAGAATTTTATCGATGCTAAAATCTTATAAGGGTCTATAAACAATAAACAACAAAATTCATGGCAAAAAGTAATTACTTAAAACTATCAAACACAAAGCTCCCTGCTTCAAAACAGAGAAGTCCAGCTCCAGAGAGGCTGGAAGTGTATTATAAGTGTCCTTGTGTGCTTCCCCTGCTCTCTTGACATATTACTACTGATAAAGAAAGCTGTTTTCTTTCACAGAAAAATGCTTTTTTTTTTACACCAGCAGTTACAAAACATTCCCCTCTATAAAGCCATGTATCATATTCTTTTCAATCTGACTTCTAAAGCAAGAACCTCTCTTTTAAGATCAAGGTAATGCAAAATTATTCCTTCACAATTTATTAGATAACAAAAAAAAAATCTTATCAAGGGTGTTCCTTGTCAGTAATCTGATTACAAGGGAATCATTTTCCTATTAGATTTTGCAGAACCAGTAGAGTTGCAGTTACATGGTCCTGAGCTGAACATAAGCTTAATTTCTGGTTTAATTACTAATTTTTAAATAGACTGTTAATTGCTCTCACTGAGTTATTCCTTAGAATTTTTACTTCTTTAGTCTGGTTTTGGCATGTATCACTGATTCTGAATTTTTTTTTTAAATCAGCTTTTGCTATGATACTGTAATGGCAGGAATTGATCCTTTTATCACTTTCAAAATACACCGTGCAGCATTTGCACTATTTTGCTTCAGCTTTTGAAAACCATGAGGTTTTCAAAAAGAAATGTTTCAAATGTACTGTACCAGAGTACAGTACATTTTCTCCACAGCAGCTGGATCCATAAGAAAGCAGAACTTCTTTCAAGGCATGAATCACAAAAAAAAAAAAAAAAAAAAATCTAAAAGAAATCAGTGTCCTAATGGAAAACAGGAAAAAATATTGCCTGTTGTTTATGCCTCAAAAGT